GGAGCACACTGACAGAGGCAAGGCTGCCAAGCACAAGCACCACCAGTTCCTCCAACCTCCACCTTTGGTTTTCAGTCTGGTTCGAGGAACAGCCAGGAGGTTTTCAGATGTGGATCTAAGGTTCCAAGAGGTGGTGTGTGGGGATAAAAGCTCAGATAGGTAGCTTGGAGCCTGGTTGTTAAGAGCTCTATAGGTCAGCACTAAAACTTTAAACTGTATTCTATATTCTACCGGGAGCCAGTGGAGGGACTGTAAACCCGGAGTGATGTGAGCTCGTCTGCTGGATTTGGTTAGGAGTCTGGCTGCTGCATTTTGGATGGCTTGAAGGCGTGAGAGGGAGGTTTTGCTGAGACCAGTAAAAAGAGCGTTACAGTAGTCTAAGCGTGATGACACAAAGGTGAGAAGTGTCTTGCCCAAGGACATGACTATGACAGACAGAGCAGGACTCAAACCTGCAACCCTCCCGTAACAGGTCGGGCACTAAACTCCCCTCCCACCATTCTGAAATGTTAGAAAGTATCACACTGCATCAACAACCTGCTGGAGGGTCAAAATTCCCAATTCTAAAAATGTTATTGAGGACCACACCTTAGACATGCCTGATCTAGGGGAGATTATACAGACTGCTGGAACAAGAAAAGGTGTAGTTTGGTACGTGAACTGTTGGTACTCTGGCTGTTTTGAACTGGGCAGACACAGTGCGACATTTCCACTCGTAGCGTTTCTTGGTTGAAGGTTGAAGGTCTCGGTTAAACTGAACTAGACTTTTCGGTGACTTTATTGTGGTGCTTTTGTCTTATTCCAGAGTGTGTATTACTTGGGTATCAAACTGCAGTTCTACTTCCTGCTACCTGTATTTCCTAACCCCAACTCGACTTCATGCTGACAGGCTGCTGTTACCGCAGATTATTTAGTTTGTATGTTTTGAAGGTCTTGAAGTTTGGTTGGATTGCTGATTTATTGTGAGAGGGAGAAACCTGAGCTCTTCTCAGCCCTTTTGGAGCTGATTGCATGATTTAATTGGCATGAAGGTCATTAGACCTCATGCTGTGATAAGAGACTCAAAGAGCTGAACAAGACAAAAAGGCATTTATAAGTGGCTGTGTGCACTATAGGCATTCTGGAGTGAAACAGAAACATTTTTATGTGTGAAAGAAAATATACCGTAAATCCTCTAATACAGGCCTGTATTCAATTAACATCCGGGTCTCATATTTTGGCCGGAGTCGGCGGAGGTGAATAATGGCCGTTTTTTTTTTTTGTGGCCGGGTGTAATGTGGTAACCAGCATGTACGGGGGGCGGTTGTGTCATCCGTCTCACTTTTGATTTGCCAGTGATAGACCGCGAGGGTAATTTTAACCGTGCGGAGACGAAGAGGAGGCGAAAATTTGATATCAAGTTCAAAGAGGACTTGCTGATTATGCTGCAGAACACTCTGGGGAGCAGTAGGGGTTGTATGAACTAGTCGACTTCACTATAATGACTTTTTATGCCTGTCATCGACTAGTCGCTGTCACGTGATAATGGACCGGCAAGATGCAGCCCTCGGAAAAGACAGCAGCCTGCTGTCAGCAGGTGACAAGCTCCTGCGCTTGGGGGGGGGGCAACGCGCTGTGCCAGAGCGTCGGTACTGACACGCGATCGTTCATGTCGGCTCATTTCCTATAATGTTTTCTGTCTTTTATTTGCACCTGATGTGTTTCACTGCTGTGGAGCGGGGCACATCACCTTGTCCTCCGGTGACGCACCGATCACTGATGCGGCCGGCGAGCACTCTGCTGTTTTAGCGGTCGGTAGATCTTTTAGAACTACAGTTCAAAGGTAACTCATGAGGTGAATATATATGAACCCAGGTAGCAGTTTCTCTTTAGGACTGAGAGGAGATGCAGGAAGATAATAAACAGGCAGGACAGAAAAATAGTTAGTTTTTGTACCTGGTGGTTGCAACAAACAGACACCATTGAAGGTAATCAGAAGTGAGGAACAGAAAATGAAATAATTACAGGTGCTGGCCAGTAAATTAGAATATCATCAAAAGGTTGAAAATATTTCAGTAATTCCATTCAAAACGTGAAACTTGTACATTATATTCATGCAATGCACACAGACCAATGTATTTCCGATGTTTATTACGTTTAATTTTGATATTTATAGGTGACAACCAATGAAAACATCAAATCTGGTATCTCAGAAAATTAGAATATTCTAAAGGCCAATGAAAAAATGTTTGTTTCTCTAATGTTGGCCAACTGAAAAGAATGAACATGAAAAGAATGTGCATGTATAGCACTCAATACTTAGTCGGGGCTCCTTTTGCCTCAATAACTGCAGTAATGCGGCGTGGCATGGACTCGGTCAGTCTGTGGCACTGCTCAGGTGTTATGAGAGCCCAGGTTGCTCTGATAGTCGTCTTCAGCTCCTCTGCATTGTTGGGTCTAGCGTATTGCATCCTCCGCTTCACAATACCCCATAGATTTTCTATGGGGTTAAGGTCAGGCGAGTTTGCTGGCCAATCAAGGACAGGGATACCATGGTCCTTGAACCAGGTGCTGGTGGTTTTGGCACTGTGTGCAGGTGCCAAGTCCTGTTGAAAGGTGAAGTCTGCATCCCCATAAAGTTGGTCAGCAGCAGGAAGCATGAAGTGCTCTAAAACTTCCTGGTAGACGGCTGCATTGACCCTGGACCTCAGGAAACAGAGTGGGCCAACACCGGCAGATGACATGGCACCCCACACCATCACTGACGGTGGAAACTTTACACTGGACCTCATGCAACGTGGATTCTGTGCTTCTCCACTCTTCCTCCAGACTCTGGGTCCTTGATTTCCAAAGGAAATGCAGAACTTGCTTTCATCAGAAAACATAACTTTGGACCACTCAGCATCAGTCCAGTCCTTTTTGTCCTTGGCCCAGGCGAGACGCTTCTTGCGCTGTTTCTTGTTCAAGAGTGGCTTGACACACGGAATGCGACACCTGAATCCCATGTCTTTCATGAGTCTCCTCGTGGTGGTTCTTGAAGCGCTGACTCCAGCTGCAGTCCACTCTTTGTGGATCTCCCCCACATTTTTGAATGGATTTGTCGTCACAATTCTCTGCAGGGTGCGGTTATCCCTAGATCTTGTACACTTTTTTCTACCACATTTTTTCCGTCCCTTCGCCTGTCTGTTAATGTGCTTGGACACAGAGCTCTGCGAACAGCCAGCTTCTTTAGCAATCACCTTTTGTGTCTTGCCCTCCTTGTGCAAGGTGTCAATGATTGTCTTTTGGACAGCTGTTAAGTCAGAAGTCTTCCCCATGATTGTGGTGCCTTCAAAACAAGACTGAGGGACCTTTTAAAGGCCTTTGCAGGTGTTTTGAGTAAATCAGCTGATTAGAGTGGCAGCAGGTGTCTTCTATATTCAGCCTTTTCAGAATATTCTAATTTTTTGAGATACCAAATTTGGAGTTTTCATTAGTTGTCACTTATGAATATCAAATTTAAATGTAATGAACATTGGAAATACATTGGTCTGTGTGCATTGCATGAATATAATGTACAAGTTTCACGTTTTGAATGGAATTACTGAAATATTTTCAACCTTTTGATGATATTCTAATTTACTGGCCAGCACCTGTATTTTAATGTTTAGAGCAGCAGGAACTCCGAGAGGCTGCAGGCGCATCAGTGAGTTTGCGGCCGCTGCGCAGGGGGAGGGGGGAGAGGGCTGAAGCAGGGGGAGGGGGCTGAAGTAGAAACTACCGTTGTTAAAAGAAATGTGTTTAACTTTGAAAATGTGGGCGCAATTTTAATTTGTTAAAAACTCCAGCGACCCATTAGTTCATTTTTCTCAAATAGAAATTGAGGCCTGCCTCTAATTCTGGCCCTCCTTCCAATAAAGGCCTGGAGCTTGATGAGCTTGAGTCAAATACAGGCCCGGGCCTGTATTAGAGGATTTACGGTACACAGAAATGAGGCAGTAAAGGTGAAAAACCTAAAGACATCAGACAAAATTAAAAATGATTTTCTTTTCATTTCATTCTGTAATGTAAAATATTTTTGTAAAAGTCACTCACCGTTGTGTAATGCCATAAAAACTTAACAAACAAGTGCATGTTTATCTCTGCTTTTACCCAATTTCATGCCCAGATCAACTTATGGTGATAAATGATAGTTTTAGAAGTTTAGGCCAACAACATTGTGCCCAAAACTGATCCTCACATCTAGAATTACTCCTGACCGTTATGCAAGTCTGATCTGCAACTACAGCAAACGCTTGGTTGAAGTCATTGCTGCCAAAGGAGGTTCAACCAGTTATCCATCCATCCAGGCCTGTGAGCTGCTAATGAGGTTTATTTATGTAGGGCATGTTTGCATGGTGTGTTCAGTATAGACAGACATGGAAACATAATTATTTGTGTGACGTTAGTTTAAGCAAACTGTGATGGTTTATTATTGTTACTTAGATGAACTTCCAAGGGGTTTGCTTGCAACGGCATCATCACTATTGTGCTCTTAGACTTTTGAAAACCTCCCTCTAATGGAGGGCTCGGTGGATGCTAGTTTCTGCAGCATCTTCCTGGACTGAACATGGCTGTAGCATGTTTACGTTTACTACAGTGTGAGAATGTGTTAAAGCTCAGACAGACGCCTGGGTACATGTGTCTTTTCCACTTGAAAGAGGCAAGCAACAGCCAACCAGACAGGCATGTCTGAAGAACCAGTAGCACTGCTCCAAGACTGTTGCATGTGTTTTTATCATCCCATCAAAACATTAGAGACCCCTATTCCCTTTTCTGCTCTGTTCGTTGTTTTAAGGCTATATTCTATTTCCTCAGTTTTCCCTGAATTCTCATGTGCTAACGAATACGACTAAATCATTTATTGGAGGAGAATCATCCTGAGTGTTCAACATAAGCATTTTATTTTAGATTTTCTAAACCTTACGGCGATTTACATCCACATGTCTGTCAAACATAAGATTTTCTCATTAGCTGTGATTTGTCTGTCCTCTGTCCCTCAGGTTTAGACGCAGAGCTGTACTATGTTCGAAATGACATGGTGAGCCATTACGCGCTGTCTTTCAACATGCCCGTGCCAACGGAGACCAACAGCCTTTACTTTACCTGGTATTCCAAGTCCAAGGTAGAGTTCAGCTTCTCTCTGACTCACTCACATATGTGTATAACTGAACTGTAAATGCAGATTTTTTTATTTTCAAAGGTTGACTACCGGCTTGCGTTCTTCATAGAAAACCCTGTTGCCTTGAGCCCTCCGTCAGCTAACATCTCCAGTCAGGGAGAGATGCCTCGTCTTCCCTCTGGTCTGTCTGATATTCATGTTTTTGTTTTTTTACCACCTTGTCTTACACGAGTCAAGTTTGTCCATTTTCAGAATTATGATTATATTTAACCTGTGTTAAACCTGCAGTAGAGCAACAGCTGAAAGCGCTTTTTCTCTGGTTTTCTCTGCCACTTCCATCCTGCTAACAAAATCGGACCCAGACTTTACGACACAGTTCACTTTGGTCTGAAAAAACTCAGTAAAACCCACAAGAGACGTCTGACCCTTTAACCAAATAAATGCAGAATAGTAGGAAGTCCGTTAGGATTTTAGACACAAGTGAGTGGGTGTGATGTAAGTGTGAGCTGTGCGTTCACACATTAGTCATGATGCTGCACGTTACACTGTGGTATATTTAGCATAAAGTTGCAATAAATGGTAAAAACATGGTGGTGAGGTAGTGAATGATTTAATTCACAGTTGACTAATTAGTACAATTATTTCATTTTGATTAACTGATCATTCAACGTTTATTTTAGTCCAGTATAAAGCTGGGCAACTGGAGAAATTATTCAACCGTTAGCGATTGGCCGAGCCCTTCGCCGAACCTTTTTTTTTATGAGCAACATGTATATTATGCCAATGAATTAGTCTTGTGGATGGGACATTGTAAACTTCCACGTCAAATCAGCATCTGGTTTACAACACTTGTTCTATGTAAATACACAATAGGTAAATACACAAAAGGGTCACGGTGTGAAAATTTAACCTCACGGTTATTGTGACCAAAATTATCACGTTTTCGGTATTATCGTGGTATTTTTTTTAAACGTGCTACATTTTCACACAATTAAATAAACCCTGTATGTCAGGAAATATTGTCCTCAGTTTGTGTCTAAATTTAGCCTAAAATGTGTTATTTTGTAATTCTGTTGTTTATTTGTTTACATTTTTTCCCCTTTAGTCTTTAAAATACCAATATTTGCCCATAACTTCTTATTTTTTGTCTGTTTGATGTCATCATTTTAAAAATATTAGATCAGATGATACTCAGTACTCAAGTAGCCTTCTAATCAGATACTTTTTTACCCTTACTTGAGTAATAAACCCTATATCAGGAAAATATCGTCCTCGGTTTGTGTCCTTCCAGTGAGCTTTGCAGATGTGGGAAAATGTCATCAGGCAGTAATCATTGTTAAATTCATAATTATTCTCGGAGAGAGACCAACTCTTATCTGCCCCTGGGAGCCCCGTAATGCATAGCGTCATTTCAACATGGCGGTGTCCGCGACACGGTTTATATGCAGGTAGCGGCGCTGCGGCTGCTTTATATAGCGACTCGTTGCGTTCTCCCTCAACCCAAATCCTCGGATCACGCATTTTAGCTAAAACGCTAACGTTAGCTTGCCTTGCGTTGACTGTAGAGTTGTGGGTGATGGTCACGCAGATGTGTCATGAGATTTGAAGCGTTGCTGCCTTTCACAGACACTTTTTCTGCACGTGCTGCAAACAGGATAGCCGTCTTCTATCAGCTGTCCCTCGGCATTCTTCAGATATCCCACAAATGCCCGTACTTCCCACTTTGTCTTCGTTGAGGGATAATATATGTCCTGAGTGCTGCCGTCTCCTCCTTTGGCCATTATTTCAGCTTTAGCTTCAAGAAAGTTTTGGTTGTAAACAACAAAGTGCGCATGTGCCGCCGGCAACTCCAGCCGATGATACGGTGGCTGGTAAGGGTCACCGCGCCTACACCGCAGCCACGGTAACCCACCAAGATAATATAGTTTTTTAAAAAACAAGACGGTTATTATTATTGTCAACTTTTTTACCAGGGTTTACGCTACACCGGTTACCGTGACAACCCTAACACACATAATTTGAAAGCTAGGATTCTTGTGATTACATTGATATATTTCAAGTCGACCTTGATTGTAGACACAGTAAGCGCTTTTGTCAAATCTCTCAGAAGTTCATAATAATGTATAACTTACTGTTGCTGCTGCCTCTTGGCCAGATCGTTGTAAATGAGAATGAGTTCTCAATCGACTGAGCAGGTTAAATAAAAGTTACATAAAATAAATAAATTAAAAAATACCATTTGACGTCACATATCATTGACACAACAGTGTCATCTCAACAAGAATAGATTTTTTACATTCGTGTGTGTGTGTGTGTGTGTGTGTGTGTGTGTGTGTGTGTGTGTGTGTGTGTGTGTGTGTGTGTGTGTGTGTGTGTGTGTGTGTTCTCACCAGTCTTTCGAGTGGACATGGACTGCTCAGGCAAACTAGATGAAGAGGCATTTTTAACGATGCAGCTCAACCTGACGAGTCACGTCAACTACACAGTGCTCAACTTCAAGAGGAGGAAAATGTGCTACAAAAGTAAGAAAACCTACGTCAACAGTCAGGTTGTTTATCATCTCTTCATGCAGCGTTCTTACTGAGGACGAGGAAACACTGTTTACTGTTACTTTTGTCTGCAGAGTTTCAGATTTTCTAAAAGCATATAGATGCATACTATACTACTGTAGCGTTGATTGACTGTATTAAATGATCAATAAGATGTGATATTCCATATAAATTAGGGCTGCACAATATATCGCAAATATGTCGTTATCGCGATATCAGCATGCACAATATGCATATCGCAAAGAACAGATAAATATCGCAATGAATGGTCAGTTCAAATGTTTTCTACACATAATGCATTCTGTCATTCAAGAATGATGTTTTTTTTTTAACAAATCAAGTAGAGCTCTTCACCCATTTGGCCAATCGGGTGGGTTCTCATAGGTTAGACGCCCGCCCCCGAGGCGGACGTCACTTCAATTAGATGGTTAGTAAACACCTGAGTTAGCTTCGTTAGCTCTTTTTGCTGAATCTGCTTTCCCCGGGATCCACGGATTGCCTTTTCTTGTTCATTTTATTTTTCCCTTTCCTCACATCTTTCTTTTCTCATTTTTATGATTTTTTAATTTTTTTGTTTTTGATCATTTTTGTTCCTGAGTTAAGTTTTTATTTATCGCAAGTAATATCGTCATCGCAATATTAATCATTGTTACCGAATATCGCAGGGTTTCCTAATATCGTGCACCCCTAATATAAATATGAAATATCAACCTGATTGGTCTTTGAATGTTTAATCAGAAGACTTTAGTTTCTTTGACTATTCAGGGAACACACACTTCATATTATTCCAGTCAGTCAAGAATAAAAATGATTTTTCATTCTATTTTCTAAGCTAAATGATTGTACAAGGTGCAGTTTCACCAGTGTGTGATGATGACTAATGGTACTTCACTTTAATAGCAGATATAATAATTATCATCATATCTGGTGTAGACTACTTCCCAAACAGCCTGTGCTCAGAGAAATAAGACAACGTCCTTCAGGACTGATGAGCAAACAGCTAGTCCATTAGCAGCCAAGACAGATCTCCCAACACATTCTCACACCCAAAGCGTCGAAAAATGACGTTTCGGGCGTCAGGAGAGGACGCACTGTCCCAGAGCGTCGATATCCGACGCCCGCGGTGAGATGGGCATTTGACCGACTTCTTAACTACTTAATCCTCCCCTCACCCCCATGCTAACTTTAACCAGCTGGCACATGCAAAGCTTAATTGTAAATTACTAAATTAAGGTTAGGATGAGGGTGAGGGGAAGGCTTAAATCGCTAGAGGTTTGAGGAATAATGTCCTTGTCACCACGGGCATCAAATACGGACGCCCGCGGTGACACGTGTTCCTGACGCGCTGGGGCACCCTGAATCATCATATTTTCACGCTTGGACACACGTCATTTTTCCACGCTTTGAGTGTGAGAATGTGTTGGATTTCCACTCTTAAATTTCACAGCAGTTCACGTAACATTTTATAAATCTTTACACCACTGACAATTTCACTTTACAGTTGTTTTGGCAGAAGTATTAAGAGGCTTTTGTGGGACTTGACCCTGGATGCGCCAAAGGGGCTGCTGCTAGTATCTCACTGTACTCACATTAGCTGTTAGCTTGTTGGTGTTGAAGGACAAAAACAAAGTTTCTCCAAACAGAGGCTGTGTTTGAGTTTATTTACATGGAAACATGCTTCAACATTGTCAAAATGCCAATTTAACAAAAGTTAATGTCGTTTTCTTTCCGTTTCTTTGAACAGGATTAGATTCAGATCTGAAGATGCCCTCCGTTAATGGAACCGCTCCACCGAGTGGCTGTAAGTAGCTTCACCTCTGCCTGCTAACACCTAGCCTAAAGGACATGATGTATGGGACCAGTTTATAAGCAAATTTTATTGTTTCACTGTGCGGAAAGACTTCTTCAAGCTGCACCCTCTCAGATCCCCCACCCCCCACCCCCAGTCTTTGAGTGTCAGCCTTTGTCCTGCGGGATTCATGCAGACTTTGTTACTGGGCCTGCAGACTCAGAGTACCATTAGTAGGCCCATCTCCCTTCTGCTTGGGTAGGCCAGAGGAACCTGAGGTCCTCTGAGCCTTTTAGGGGGGTGATGAGAGAAGCTTTCAGCCTCTAGATACTTGATGCATCCACTACAACTCTGACCTCCATCTGCAGCCAAACGTGTTCCTTCTTCATGTCTTTCCTCTCTGCTGAGCATCATTAAACAATGTTTTTTAGATTTGCTCCTTTCTTTGCTAACACGAGTCTTGTTTCGATCAGTTGATGGAGTTCCCACCCCCACCACCTCCACCCAGGTCTTCTACATCAGTGTGAGCGTCTGCTGCATCGTCATCTTTCTTGTTGCCATCATCCTGGCCATCCTCCACCTTCACAGCGTGAAGAGAGTGGAGATGGAAGACAGGTTGGACCAATTTCTTGTCTGGTTGTTCGTTTTTTTTTTATTAGCTGTGAACTGCTCCTGATTCTCTCTGGTTCTGTGTGTTGTGTGTCAGTGTGAGCGACAGTGGAAGTTCACAGGGTCTGTCTCAACCATCCACACAGACCACACAGTACCTGAGGGCCGACACTCCTAACAATGCAGCTTCCGTCACCAGTAAGACTTTTTTTTATCTTCCCACTCTCACTTTTGTTAAAACCATTAAACCTGATGCTAAATCACATCTTGCAGATGCTTTTTTGAGCCTCATACATGACTGAATAATCTATTTAGGTGTATTGGTATCATAAGACTGTAAGAAGAAGCACAGCTCTTGAAGTTGCTCCGGTCCTGTGACCCGTTAAGTGTCTAGGCGATGAGTGAATGACTTCACCATGTGCTTTGCATCAGGCAGCAATTCATGTTAAATAAAGCAGTCTTCTATGCTGAAACTGGGTGGAAGTGATCAACGCTAATTTGATGCAATCCTAGAAAAGGTTAGCATGTAACACAGTTATGCTTGGAGCTAAATATGAGCAACATTTCATTTTCATTTATTTATTTTATTTTGTGACATGCACATCCTCGGTCTCACCAACAAAGCAAGCCATAAACTTTAGACACTTTTGTGTCCACATCTCCAGTCACTTCAAGGAGATATTATACCGTTACCATGTACGTGTCCAAAAGGGAGTAGGGAGAAGTATAAGCAGGGTCCGAAATTAACACTCGCCAAATGCGAGTAAATTGCTCCATTTGGCGAGTAAATGTTTGAGCTCTACCGGCCACCTGGCGAGTAAATGTTTGCACCAAATTAGTTATGTTTATCAGTCATCTTCCATGGATCTCTGATACTCCTCCCGCTGCATGCAACGTACACAAACGTACGCGAAACGTGAACGCCGCATCCAACGTCATTTCCACCTATCCCATTCAACCAGTTTATCAAGTTAGCAGTTAGCTTCGTGTTAAAACTAGCGGTGGAATGTGGCGGTTTTTAACTGGAGTCAGCCAGCCTTCCAAAAGAAAACTCGTCGAACTGGAAGAAAATCCACCAGGACCAGTGGCAACCAGAAGATTTTGTGAAAAGTGGCGAACCGGAGATGGCGGAGTCGTGAGACAATGGCTACATTATGATGGCCACGTAGCGTTGCTGCCTTTCACAGACAACTGTCCCTCGGCATTCTTCAAATATCCAAAAAATGCCCGTACTTCCGAATTTGTCTTCTTTGAGGGATAATAAATGTCCCGAGTGCTGCCGTCTCCTCCTGCCATTATTTCAGCTTTAGCTTAAAGAAAGTTTTGGTCATAAACAACAAAGTGCGCATGTGCCGCCGGCAACTTCCAGATGATACGGTGGCTGGTAAGGGTCATCGCGCCTACACCGCAGCCACGGTAATCCACCAAGATAATATATATATATTTTTTAAAAACAAGACGGTTATTATTATTGTCAACTTTTTTACCGGGGTTTACCGCTACACCGGTTACCGTGGCAACCCTAGCCCTGACACACTTTCAGATGTTCTCATGGTGCAGCTGTGTTCTCCAGAGATCAAGGACTATGACCCAAATGAGGCTGTAATGCTTTGGCACAAAGACGGTGTCAGAAGCAGGAGGCCGGACTTCATGGACAGAGAAAACAAGGAGTCTGACTAGATTTCAATGAAAGAGTTCATAAAAACATCTCTAAAAATAAATAAATAAATAGTAAAAATGACAAAATAGTTGTTTTTCTTATTAATTGATGTTTTGATTATTTTGTCACTCTGTTTGGAATCAACATAATATAGAATTACATGCTTTAGGTAGATCTAAATCATTTAGGATTTTGACCGGTAAAAAATATGCTTGGCAGGTAGATTTTCATCATCTACCGGCCAACTTGGCCGGTGAGTAAAACATTTAATTTCGGACCCTGAGTATAAGCGTATACGATCCTACCCCGTCATTACCAGTTTGGTTTGTACACAAAATAATATAACCTTCACCACAAAGTAAAATGAATTGGAACATCATTTGCTTTTTCCTCAAGATGATTTTTAATCCTGAATGTCAGCGTTTTGGTTTTATAACCGATGTCAGGGAGTTTATCAGGGGAACTTATTGGGAACTTTTGGTGCCGTTATCCTTTCTGCAGGAGTTGTTGCCCATCAGCCACAAAGTGCCCCCCCCCCCTCCAGTGTAAACAGGGTTGTTGCTAACAGAATCATGCTTCATTAGTTCACCTGCCTCTCATCAGATAACTGAGGTCACAGATCAAGTGAGAAATGAAGTTGTTTTTTTTTCCTCCTTTTTCTTGAACATCATTTGCAGCTTCAGGCTGCCCTCTGCTGGCGTTTGGATTAGTTGCAGGTGAAAGGGACTCAAATGTATTTTTTTTTCTCACTCATCACTCGAAATAACTTGCTGTCAGCAGAGGTATTTTGCTTTAAAGGGCATTTTGAGGAGTGTTTCTGTGTAAATGGATTCCTGAACCACCTGTGTTCTGGGTTTTGTAGAGACTTGTGTTAAAATGTTTTATAAATCTTATCAGCTCTCCAGGCCTGCATGCCCCATGTCACTCACTTAACAATTAGGATGAACGTGTATTAAATCTGACCTACAGATGTCCAGAAACCACGAAAACTACAAGTCCCAGTGTACACTGGAGCAGGCAGCTCCTCCGCTCAGCTGCTGTTGGGAACGAATCAAACAGCTGACAGTCTCTTGCTATTCATCTCATTTAGAGTTGTGTTCACAGCATTCAAGGACTCACCCGTCTTCACAGTTTACAAATACTGAAACTGAGAAAGATCCAATCAGAAGTAAGATGATCAGGAAATAAGGCTCCAAATCCATCTTCAGCTCACTTCTACCTCCTGAAACGGGGGCACCGGAGCTTTTTCCCCCACAGAGATGGACTCACAAGTCATTCACTTCTGCTAGAGACCAATGCACACATGTTGGGGAAAAATGATTGAATGTGGTGTTTAGACTGTTTGTGTTGATGAACACCTGGGTAAAAGTTATGAAACATGTTTTTATGAATTACTGTAAATCTATCGAAGACTGGAGCCATTTTTAAAACACAGCATTACGCTTTGGAGTGGCTCGTTTGTCAGGTATAACCACTGTGGTGTCTGATTGGAAAGCGGTTACTCAAGACTTTTACACAAAATCAGATGTCCACACAGGGATCTTTGAAAGTGTGAATGTCCTTACTACCGTACTGTACTACTTGCTTAATGGCTTTCTATCATAACCTTGGTGCTACTTAATCAAACAGGTCATTCGTTATCAGTTAGTGTTAAAAATAGCTTTGTTACAACACACACACACACACACACACACACACACACACACACACACACACACACCACACACAAATCTGGCATGCCTCACACATCAGATTATTGCTATAGATCCTAATTTACTAATTAGTAAACAACAGCAATAAATCATGTTGCGTCCTGTAAGGCGTCTCCATGTGAGAAGCCTGGTCTTGATGAGTCATTTGGAGATGTAGTAAATTCACAGTGACTCTTCCTGCTCTTTGCGTGTCCAGTTACCCCAGCCCAAACATCCCTATGCCTGTCCTTTTTATTTCACCCAGCAGCTGTTCTTTTTCAGCCCAAACCCCGATGGGGAAACAAGCATGCCTGTTTTAATGGATGTATCTGTGAATCAGCAAAAATGTCACTAGTGTTTCACCCATTCATTCATTCATTCATTCAGGCCGTGTTTTAATTATATGTGCTTTTCACCCTAACACCCCCTCTTTCTCCCCTACCCCAACCCGCCCTCCCCTCTTGCCATCAGACAACCACCCTGGTTCTGCACCCATTCTCCAGCTTGCTGCCTCCTCCTTCCAAAACCCAGGCGTTCCCCCTCATGAAACCAAAAGTAAGTTCACTAAAGAGTCCTAGCTCTCCTGTGCTGTTCTGCTATTTTTTATAGTAACCACCGATTATAAGGTTCCCATGAGCATCAGGGTCAAAGTTGTCCTGTTTAAATTCAGCCTTTTGAAGCTTCTCTTCTCTTAATACTAACCGTCTCTGTGTTTGTGTTCACTTTTAAGCACATTTAAGCTCTTGGATTTTGATTTCTGCATTATGTAAATGGCCAAAAATTCTAACTGAGCAAGGTTGGATTCCTGTTGAGTCTCATCTGCTGCTACCTCAGCTCATGGTCTGCTCTAATCATGTTTGTTTTCTGAGGTCACTTAGCTGGAGCGGCCATCTTTAATGGAGTTGCCTAAAAGATGATCAGTTGTAGATTTACCTGAATGTTTTCTGAGACTTTCACCTGAAACCAGTTGGTTCAGTTCAGTGGTTCATGAGGAACTTAAGCACAAACCGCCTTTTGTCAGCAGGTGATGATGATTATAAGCTGAGAGAAAGAACCAAGAACTCGTCTCTGAAATCACAGTAAATGTAAAGTATACAATTCAGTTCAATTCAAAGATACTTTATTAATCCCAGAGGGAAATTAGAGTTCTGTACTCACAATTCAGAGATCAGACATACATGGGCAAAGACACATGACAAGAATTGGTGACTGTGGTCATTCGCAACCCGAGTCGCGCTACCTTAATAGAGATGAGAGGGGTTTACATGAGGATTGGTTCAGGTGGAGGGAAAAAAGGCACTTCAGAGTTACCCTCCACAGGGAGGGCAGCTTTGCTATGCAAAAAACACCTCAGACAGAAATGCAACAGACTTCAGACATTACACAACATAAGTGTCCACTAGGTGGGGTGATAGGGTTTGGGACTCTCCACACGTCAGTGCATGCAGCCGCGATAAGCACCTCAGTCTGGACAGGGGGAGGAGACCATTGGGTTTAGAGGGCACAGTGACTCCTGGAACAATTCAGCGGCCTTCACAGCTCGCAGTCCCGCCCAGGCTGGGACAGGGAGACAGAGTTGCCATGGCGACGTCAGCATTCGACATTTCTTCTGGGGGGGGAGTATTCGTTTCAGCCTCAAATGCTCAAGGGCACCAGATTCAGATAAGAAATTGTTTTGGGGCCAGACAGAGATAATTTCTTCTCTGTCTTAAAGTCACGCTGGTCCTCAACCTCACAAAATCCATTAATGGTGTAATTAATCGATCCCAATTCGCGCTGATTCATCCACTCGCTCCTTGATCGCATCCATCTTTTGTGCCAACGCATGAATCTCAGCCAAAGTTCCAAGTTTACGACTCATCTCGACAATTATATGTGTTTGTAAATTCACAGCACGGTGTAATCCATCCCTGAGCTCCGGGAAAGAGCCAGTATTCCTCGACAGCTCGTTCATTTTCCGGTAAGCCAGGTAACCTCCCAGGCCAAAAGGCAGGAAACCTGACACCAACACCACGAATGTCCAGACGTCTTCAGAATCCTCTACTGACAGTTGAGAGAGGCAGATCAGGTTCCACTGTTTCCAGGAGTCCATGATATGCCCAGCTGGCTCTGTCCCAGAGGGGCACCCGGGAGCCCCTACTCCCATTCTCATCGTTGAGAAAATTTTGTCAATCGCATTGAGAAACCAGCTGACAAGATCCATTTTTAATCATTTCCAGTTTCCAGAAAAAATGCAGAAGCGCCAGACAGACAAAGAGCCTTGGGGATAAGATAGGGAAGAGAGGAGGAAAAAAGCGTCTGTACTCTCCAAGAGCCGGAAGAAGGAAAACTAAAGATAAACAGCTACCTAGCTACCTACCTAGCACCGGCCGCACCAGTGCGGTGAAGTCACCGGAGGACGAAACAGGTTATCCGCTCCGCTCCGCAGCAGCAAAACGCATCAGGCACAAATAAAAGACAGAAAGCATAAAAGGATATGAGCCGACAAACGATCGCATGTTAACTTTGTTTTTGAGGTGGCGACACTTTGAGAATGTTACTGTGGCCATGCTCAGGACGCATCTGTCTGTAGCGCGTCAACAATCAGAGCTCTGCGCCCCTCAGCTCAAAATAATCCCCGGAGAGTCCACATGAATAATGTAATATAAGTAGAACCAGGATCTTTTTCGGGCTTCCCCTGGGTGTAAGCTTGTCGTGTGCCCGTCCCATTTACCGGTTCCTTTAAAACCCAGTTCCGTTAGAACTTATGAGACGGTGCATCCATCAGGGTTCGGGGGTGTATCGACGAGTATAATCGTACCAGACCCGGGTTTGGACTACCTAATTAGAATCTTGTCTTTTATTTTAAAGGTGAAATGACTTGCACGAATAGCCAGCCTCAGAGTGCTACACTTCTTTTAAACTCGTTACCTTTTGGTTAAGATACTAGAGAGAAGTCTGGAGGCAAGCCAAGCCTCTCAGCAATTGTTTGGGCTACCCGGAATTAATTGCGCCTCTAACAGCTTATGTGGGAGGTTGGTAACTATAAAATGATTTATGCTAGTTGATCAGGCTAACATAAGTTTATCAATTTATTTATTAATCCAACCTTCCAGCTGATTAGAGACTTTTTCAACCTGCAATCAGAGCCAAAATAACCTCGAATATTTTGCTTTTATCACCCTTAAGACAACTCGTTACTCGCAAGGGGAGAGAAATTAAAACTTCCCTTATCTTAAGGTTTCTTTATATTATTCTGTTATAAACTGTAAAGTAAGTCCTGATAATTCAGAGACCGATCTTCGACATGCTTACCTCTGTGCAATTATGGCCAGGGCTCCAAACGTGAAGCTTTAGAGAAAACCTGAAAGAATCAGGATTATGTTTCTTTTTCAAAAAAGGTTTATTACAAAATCAAAATACAAAAATGGGTAAAGTGAAAAACAACTACTATCCCCCACGGAGGAATTAGTTCAAAATGAATAAATAAGAGTCAGTTTACACCAGCTCTTGTCTTCTCAGAATCTCCCCAAGAACTGAAGAACAAGACCCCAATCTTCCTGTCGTATCTCTCTTTTTTCTCCTCTCTCTCCCGGTCATCCCCCATCCAGGCTTGGACGGGGGATGACCCCTCCAAATCTGCTCTGTCTCTTCTTGTCCTCTCTCCCAGCTGCTGTCCGCTCTCCCAATCTCTCAAACCCTATCTGCTGTTCAGAGCTGTTCTTATATACCCTTCCTGGACCAGCTTAAGGTCAAGGGGTCATTTACCAGATACACACTTTGTAGCTCAACACAAAACATTTGGTGTCATTTTCCTTCTTAACACAGGTCATTGCATCATCTTTTGCAGCATTCTTCAGTTTCTCTCCAATGTTCCCGAGAGGGCTTCTGGATCTGATGGGCTTGTCTTCACTCTGTTCTCCTCCAATCCCATCTTTCCAAGCCAGGGGTGGGGCAAAGAGGTTGGGTCAGTCAACCTGACCTTTCGCCCAGTTCTGTCCTCGTCCCTGTGACCCTTGTGTGACCCTTGTTTCTGACCACAGTCTTTTGACCTGCAGCCCAACTCCTGTCGGCTGGCTGATTTTGCTCGCACAAGCCAGTCCAGTGTGGCTCACCTTCTGACCCCGTACTTGCCACTGTCTTTGGCATGTGGGACTCGCAACATCCCCCATGCGAGAAAAATCTAGCCAGGGGACTGCAACAGCCTTCTTTGGGGTGGGGCTGCCTCCTCCTCTGGATCATCTTCATCTCCAGTCTCAGACCCAGAGTCTGACTAGCTCAGAGTCCAGATACACACCATCATCATCATCATCATCACTCACTTCAGTCTCTGAAGAACCAGATGTTTGTTCATGAGGGTTCAGATCTGGGTTCCTGCTTCTCCACCAGTTTCTACCGCCATCTGGTCAGCTGAGCTGCTGGTTGGAACATCTCAGTTTCCACCCTCAAGCAGAGACTCTCTCCCTCCAGACTGAAGACATCTTTTACTGCAGAGCTTCAAATATTCTCCTCACACACCTGAACAGCAACAAGCTAACTCTGCTTGTAGCTGCAGGTGGGAAGCTTACGCTAAAAACTATAAAGTGTGGCAAGGTGGATTAATGGGGGCCCGGGTCCCGAGACCCCCGGGGTGGGAGTCATGCGCTCTAACCACTCAGCCAAAGGGACATCCCCTTAGCTAACTGGCCAGGGCGCATCATCAATCAAGACATTGTGACAGAACGCTCACACTGTCACACCTTCCCCCCTCTTTCCACCAGCGCGTCCTCGTACTCCCGCGCAGGGTGCCACAAACTTCACATCCACGGACCTACTTGACAGTACTACATGGATCCTGCCTACAACACCAAATGTGGCAAGGTTAAAAATGCTTACGCCTTATTAGTGTAGCTGTCTGTCAGGTCAGAATCATACGGAGCTGTTAGTTCAGGACTCTCCCTTCTCAACAGAACTAGTAGGGGGAGGGGTGATGTCACCACATCCTGCTTGTCTGTTGTTGCTCAGCTGACTGGGTGCTTTTTCTCTGTTCAGCTGTGGCTTCTCATATCTGCAGGCTGCCGAGAGCGGAAGCTAGGTGCTTGTCTCAAGCAGATCCTCTAAAAACAAAGTTTAATTGGAGCAGAGTTCCAATGCTCCCAGTTATAAGTCCGTCCTTTACAGGCGGCACGGTTTCTCCCCTCACGGAGCCCTTAAGCACAGAGGTTCACACATTAAACATGTTCCCGGCTTCTAGCCTCCATTGCGCGTGACGATGCCCGACATGAGATTCTATGAAGCTAGGAAACATGATTACTTTACAGTTCGTGACAAATACCTCCCCGTGTTACCAGAAACGAGGCCCAAGTCACACAGATTCTTACATATCAGTCCTTCACTAGATTTTGATCCAGCCATGACGTTTAATCGCATCTCACTTGTGCCTCAGCACCCGGACAGCGCCCCGCCGCAGCTCCATACTAGCTTTTCCAGCCTCTGAAAGCTCCGGTTATAGGATATTGAAAGATCTATCTGCCATGGCTGGTTAAAAGTTTTTCTTATTCTTTATTTATTTTTATTTTTTGCCTAGCTTTTATCCTTGGCTTTTCTTGCGTCGGAATGCCGTATTTTCTTTATACCTTTTTAAGTTGATCGTCCGTTCTCCCAGATTTCTTTCTTTTTCGAGAAACTGGTGCGGTTTTCACTCCAAGGTTATAAGCTTAATAGGTCCTTAGCGCGCAAGCTTTTATCAGCCTAAAAGACAGTTCTACGTCAGATAGCCCGGTATCTAATATTTAGACCTTCACTCCGTAGCCCCACGTTTGGCGCGCCATATCGTGTGCCCGTCCCATTTACCGGTTCCTTTAAAACCCAGTTCCGTTAGAACTTATGAGACGGTGCATCCATCAGGGTTCGGGGGTGTATCGACGAGTATAATCGTACCAGACCCGGGTTTGGACTACCTAATTAGAATCTTGTCTTTTATTTTAAAGGTGAAATGACTTGCACGAATAGCCAGCCTCAGAGTGCTACACTTCTTTTAAACTCGTTACCTTTTGGTTAAGATACTAGAGAGAAGTCTGGAGGCAAGCCAAGCCTCTCAGCAATTGTTTGGGCTACCCGGAATTAATTGCGCCTCTAACAGCTTATGTGGGAGGTTGGTAACTATAAAATGATTTATGCTAGTTGATCAGGCTAACATAAGTTTATCAATTTATTTATTAATCCAACCTTCCAGCTGATTAGAGACTTTTTCAACCTGCAATCAGAGCCAAAATAACCTCGAATATTTTGCTTTTATCACCCTTAAGACAACTCGTTACTCGCAAGGGGAGAGAAATTAAAACTTCCCTTATCTTAAGGTTTCTTTATATTATTCTGTTATAAACTGTAAAGTAAGTCCTGATAATTCAGAGACCGATCTTCGACATGCTTACCTCTGTGCAATTATGGCCAGGGCTCCAAACGTGAAGCTTTAGAGAAAACCTGAAAGAATCAGGATTATGTTTCTTTTTCAAAAAAGGTTTATTACAAAATCAAAATACAAAAATGGGTAAAGTGAAAAACAACTACTATCCCCCACGGAGGAATTAGTTCAAAATGAATAAATAAGAGTCAGTTTACACCAGCTCTTGTCTTCTCAGAATCTCCCCAAGAACTGAAGAACAAGACCCCAATCTTCCTGTCGTATCTCTCTTTTTTCTCCTCTCTCTCCCGGTCATCCCCCATCCAGGCTTGGACGGGGGATGACCCCTCCAAATCTGCTCTGTCTCTTCTTGTCCTCTCTCCCAGCTGCTGTCCGCTCTCCCAATCTCTCAAACCCTATCTGCTGTTCAGAGCTGTTCTTATATACCCTTCCTGGACCAGCTTAAGGTCAAGGGGTCATTTACCAGATACACACTTTGTAGCTCAACACAAAACATTTGGTGTCATTTTCCTTCTTAACACAGGTCATTGCATCATCTTTTGCAGCATTCTTCAGTTTCTCTCCAATGTTCCCGAGAGGGCTTCTGGATCTGATGGGCTTGTCTTCACTCTGTTCTCCTCCAATCCCATCTTTCCAAGCCAGGGGTGGGGCAAAGAGGTTGGGTCAGTCAACCTGACCTTTCGCCCAGTTCTGTCCTCGTCCCTGTGACCCTTGTGTGACCCTTGTTTCTGACCACAGTCTTTTGACCTGCAGCCCAACTCCTGTCGGCTGGCTGATTTTGCTCGCACAAGCCAGTCCAGTGTGGCTCACCTTCTGACCCCGTACTTGCCACTGTCTTTGGCATGTGGGACTCGCAACAAGCTGAGGGCTTCCAGGGTGGCCTGTCACCCATTGTGGTGAGCCGGGCTCCCTTTAGCTCACCCGTAATTCGGACCCTGCATATAGCACAAATTGGTCGCGTGAGTTGCCGGAACCTAGCAGACAGTTGCCGGAAAGGTCCTTTCATAATAAGCCAGTTCCCGGATCTTGTTTGGTGAGAGCCGGCTCAAATTGAGCCCTGATTCTACCACAAAAATATGGTGCGGAGGAAGCTCAGTAACATGCGCCAAGAGAGTAGATTTAATACGAGTTTTAAAGGTGAAACTCTGGGTGGAGTGAGGTGAGTTAAGGCTCGCTGCAGAAATAAAAACATGGAGCAAGTTTTTATATTTATTATATATTAAAAATTGGTATCGGCATCTGTCTTAAAAAAACCATATTGGTCGGCCACTACTAGTGACGGTACTTTATTACATGTTCACTGTCTCAGTAGTTATTATGTGTTAAGTGTTGATTTGAGCTGCATCAGTCAGGGTATCCGCAGGTCCTTAAAAAGTCTTAAAAAGTCTTAAATTTGCTTTTCCAAATTTAAGGCCTTAAAAATCCTTAAAATTTTTTTAATAATCCTTAAATACAGTTTCCAAAGGTCTTAAATTACCAAAGACCCAATAAACAAGATTATTTTATTTCAATTTTCATGAATTTCTAGTTAGAGTTCAGCATTTTTTGTGTTCGATGTTGGCGTATCGGAACCATACACATTCAGTTGGTTATGAAAGGGGGCTTTTTTAGATGAGCACATTAGCTGTTTAAGCTAGTGGGAGATTGCACCATGGGGACGTGCAACTTTTATGGTAACTGGATGGCTAATCCCACGTTCGCAACGTGGTTCTCACCGGTTCCAGGCAATAGCTGGAAATTATAGTTTAAATTTTATTTTAAAAAATAGCTTAAATTTGGTCAAAGTGGCCTTAAAAAGGTCTTAAAAAGTCTTAAATTTGGCTCCCTTCAACCTGCAGATACCCTGATCAGTGTTCATATTAATGTCCTCCTCCTCATGATGGAGCATCAGGCTGAGGGACTTCCGGTGTGCTTTCCTCATGGATGTTTTGGCGGGAACGCTGTGCTGACAACCAACAGGACTTGTTATTGTTTACACAGGCGCCCCAGTTAGACCCAATCTGTGTTTGTTGTTGTTGTTGGCTCCTCCAGCGATGTGTCTAAACATTTATTTAGGACTCCTTTTCAGTTAAAATCATATTGTGTTCACATGTTGAACTCTAGGGGGCAGCATTGACTCTCGTCGTGTTTTTACTAAACCAGACAGTAGAGATTAAAACCATTACGTCTTTTTCTCCTAAATTAGATGAGAATGCAGACTCATCTGGACTTCTTATGTCATTTTTAATGTAAACATTTTATAAACCAATCAGCTAAATATGCCACTTAATAATAAAGTAATTGTTTATGATAAGTTGTTGGTTTTCACTTAGCCCTGCTGTGTTTCTGTGAGTTTTTTGGGTAATTCAGAGTTCAGGCTGGCAGACGAGAACGCCAAATAAGCCGTCTCTCTTCACTGGCGGGCTGTGTACACATGGGAAGTGTTGATATAAAGAGGTTATGTTTGCAATGTTCAGACATGTGGGGAACTTGGTGTGTATGTTTCAGTCCAAACACCCCCGCTTGGCCAGCTGCTGATGACAGCGTGTACGCGACCAGGTTATGTAATAAAGTGCTGTAACACAGGACTTTGCATGAAGTTGCTTTAATGCAACATGCGTGCAAGCCGCTGCACATTTAGTTGAGCCGGTTTCTTGTAAATGCTGGTATTTATGAGAAATCAAAAGAGGGCTTTGAGATGCAGCCTTGGCCGTGAGTTAGAAACTCGACTCTGTCAAAGTTTGTCAGTTCAGTTCAGAAGACTCGTCTTTCACTTTGATACGAGGATCAAGTGTGCCAAACGCAGTTTTTGTTTTTCCTGTGCAGGCTATCCATCTCTTCGTATAGAGAAGAACGACCTGAGGAGTGTAACTCTGACAGAGGCCAAAGCTAAAGTGAAAGACATTGCCATCTCCAGGGACAGGGTAACATTACGGGATGTCCTACATGAAGGTACCTGCTCCACGTGCTCCTCCTTAGGAGACATTCCTGGTATCACTAAATGAATAGTTCCATCACACACTCACCTCGCGAGTCAGAAACACTAAATGTGAGCCTTCTGGTCTTTGGGAGGAAATTGAAACGCTCTTTTAAGAAGTTGTGCAAACGCTGGTAAAATGTCACGTCCACACAGAAAGGTCCCAGCTGTGACTCAACATCTGAGACCTTCATGACGTGTGGCTGCAGGGCTAATACTGCAATATTGTAATGTGTGGTGTTTTTATCATGACATACAATGTTTATTACGATACGTAAAAGTCCCCCTTTATCTACTGAATCTATGTTTAATTCAGCTCGGAGACATTGGGTCTCTAACCCCTAGATAAAGAAACCCCGCTGCTCTTCTCTCACCTAAGCAGGACTTTGGTTAAAGGGTTGATGCTTACGTGTAAGGACCCTTGTTTGGTGTGGGCTACAAGACCGCTGCACATGGACCAGAGTCTAGCCGTTAGCATAGCCACTGAGCCATTCTCTAATTTGATGATGCTAATCAACAAAGTTTGTCCCATGTCACCCTTTAAATCCTTAATACTCAATCATTTAAAAAAGAAAACGCCTCGGACAGCTGATTTGTCAATGACACAGCGGTAACACACATTACCCTTAAGGTTGGTTTATGCTTGACGCGTCCGCGAGGTCCGCACGGAAAAGTTGCGTCATTTTAACAACCACACCCCTCCACCGCGCCTCCGCACGGCCCAAAATTTCTGCAACGCGCACCTCGGAAATTTTCTAAACACGCGGACGGACGGACGCGGAAAAACATGGCGGACCGGCAAGAACTAGTATGGCAGAGGTTGGTAAATACAGACATTTGTATGATTCAGCTCTCAGAGATCACCGTGATCAACATGTTGTTAATAATTCTTGGAGAGAAATAGCTCGCACTGTCGGAAAAGACGAGAACGCTGTTAAAAATGCTGGAATGCCATGTTGTAAACAGTCATTTTTACTTCTACTATGGTGTAGTGTTGGATGCATGCCGTAGAGCTCCGTGCTGCCCCCTACAGTTTAGGAGACGAGCTGCACGAAATTAGAAATTTTCCGAGGTGCGCGTTGCGGAAATTCTGGGCCGTGCGGAGGCGCGGTGGAGGGGCGTGGTTGTTAAAATGACGCAAAATGACGCAACTTTTCCGCGCGGAGCCGTGCGGACCTCGCGGACGCGTCAAGCATAAACCAACCTTAAAACGCTGCGAGTTGTGAAGCGCGTTCCATCCGCGAGCCGCATCACCGCGCGGAAAGTGAACGCGTCAAGCATAAACCAAGCTTTACTGTTGACTTTCTGAACTACGCATCACCAATCCCATCTCAGTGAGCAAAAGCAGCAAATCCCAGTAAAAACCCTTTAAATAAAGTTTTCTTGAAACCACTTCAGGTAACGGAGCTGCTGCGGTTCTTAGCTAGCTTCTGTTGACTTGCTCTTCCTTGACCTTCTCTCTCTCCTGATGAACACTGAACCATTTCCTAGATGGGAGAGTAGGAGTTTAGCTGCAGCTTTATAGATAGGGTGTAAGTGCTAAATAGATGTTGTGTGATGTAATGATGACGGATTCGGTTTTTGTGGTGCTTTTCTGGTCGCCCAAAGCACTTTCCATTATTTGCACGCTCTCACATTCACTCACTGCTGGTGATGGTAAACTACTAGTAGCCACAGCCACCCTGGGGCAATCTGACATAGGCCAGGCTGCCATTAGCACCATCAGCTCCTCTGATCACCACCAATTTAGGAAAGTTAGGTCAAGTGTCCTGCCCAAGAACACAACAGCAGATTTCCCTGGAGGAAGCTGGGATTTATCCGGCAACCCTCTGATTTCTGGACAACCACTACCCCTTGTATTGAGCTAATATAATCAAGTACCCTCCTATACACGGGCTGCATGGTGGAGCAGCTGGTAGCTCTGTTTCCTTGTAGCAAAAAGGTCGCTGGTTCAAAACCCGACTGAAGCCTTTGTGCATGGAGTTAGCACGTTCTCCCCATTTGTAAGTGGGTTTTCTACAGGTGCTCCGGTTTCCCACAGTGGTCCCACAGACCAAAAACATGCATGTGAGGTTACCCGGAGACTCTAGATCTCTCTAGGTGTGTGTGACTGGTTGTTTGTCTCTGTGTGTCCCTGTGATGGACTGCAGACATGTCCAGAGTGTCCCCTGTCTCTTGCCCGACGACTGCTGAAGTTGGACACCAGTTCCCCGTGACCCTACAGAGGATGAAGTGGTTAAATGCATGGATTGTTGTTTCCTAAACCCTGAATCCACTTTCCAAACTCAGCTGAGATGTTGAGAATGTTCCAGAAGTAAACAAATTGTTTGTGTAACATTTTTATTTGTTTCAACCTATAAAATAGAGGAAACCCCAGTTGTAATAAAGGGCCTTGTAGTAAAAAGAGGTGATACAAATATTGATGCCCCCCCCCCCCCCCCCCCCCCCCCGGGTAGAACCACAGCTCACCAGTAAAACACACCAGGACCAGCGTGTTAACTCATTCACTGCCAGCGTTTCTCACCATTTTTACTGGTTTTTAAGAGTCACAGAACGTTGCGCGCTAGCATGATGTCGATGCCAAAACAACCAAAACAAGGAGGAGACTCACCTCTTACATCAGGAAGAAGCCGCGTGTTTCGAGCGTTATCCGTTCTTTCATAATCCGTTGTCGAATTGTGATCGGCAGACGCTTTTCCGGTTCGCGTCTCACTTTTTTTACAGGAACGGCCCAAAACGATCTCCAAACACATGGATGTGTTGCTTCCTGATCATGTGATCTGTGACGTATGCGGATGAAGATCGGCTTCAGGGCTGAGATGTTTGTTCTCTCAGCGCGGGGGCTCGTTCCGATGCTCAAACAGTAAAAAAATGCAAATGACGACTTTAGTCGTCATTGGCAGTGAACGAGTTAAAGGTGAGCTACAGTAATCCCTCGCTACTTCGCGGTTCGTTCATCGCGGATTCGCTGCTTCGCGGATTTTTTCTTTGGAGCATTTTTCAGGGGGAATTCGCAGATTTGCGGTATTTTTCACTGATTCGCGGTATTTTTCTATGCGAAATATCAAGAAATTCTTGTTTTTTTCATCAATTTCATCATAAAATGCACTTTTTGTAATGAAACCAAAAAAAACAAGTAAAAAAATTTTTTTTCTTGAGTTTTACCCTCAAAAACAGAATGTGATCATACGATAATTCAATATAGTACTGTATGTCAGACAGGTCAGCTGGATTCGGGAGTTGAGCTTGTAGGGAGCGTGGTGTCACAGACGCGGAAGTGATAGCGTCGGTGAAACGCCGGCTGATCTGGGAAACCCCCGAGCGTTCGAGCGTCAACGAAGTGACACGGAAATGCCGGGCTTTCCAGAAGTAAGTAAGATAACTTACTATGAGCTGATAGTTCGTTGGATTGATCGGTAGGTTGGAAACTCTGATCATGAATCTGAAGAAACGATGACTGAGTGGTGAGCTGGAAAGGCGACTTCCGTTTATAGCCGCGGTTTGTGACGTAGGTGCGACGTGGAGGGAATCCCCGCGAGGGGCATGCTGGGAGTCCCTACTTCGCGGATTTTCACCTATCGCGGCCAGGTCTGGAACGCATCTACCGCGATAAACGAGGGATTACTGTAAACGTAAAACGTTTTGGGATTTCTGTCTGCGGTCAAATGTCAGAGACGGACTCGGATGTTTCAGGCTTCGGTCTGGCCAATCCTCTCTTGCTGCCAACATTCTGGAGAGGATCCAGTACTGTTGCAGCCTGATGCTCCAGAATCAGACTGTGTCACAGTCTCCTGGAGATTAGCCCACTCCGAGGTTTAGTTCTGCCGTGGGAATGACGTAACTTTTACCCAACAGGAACGTGTGGCTGTTCTGTTCTTACTTGTGATTTAACAGCCTCTGTACGTACTTAGTCTTTGCTTCTGTTTGAAGAGTAACTTGGACAGATGCTTTGGTGAATCACTTTCAGTTTTCTCTAAAGCTCATTTCTGCACAGATATTACTCACCTGAACAGCTGTGAGCTGTCTGATGCTGGAATTTGTTTGCATAGCAATATGTTCTGTAGGCCTAAAATAGATCATTTTACCAAATAATCTGAGCTGGCTCAAAAGTTCATATAATTTAAAATAAATTAAACAACTTTAACCTTCTTAATGAACATTTTAAACCACCTGATAAGTAAAATGATTCATTTCTCTTCCATCCTGATGGCGTACATCTCTAAATGTAACACTAGCCATGTTTACATGTTCCAAATTTCCCGAATCCGATTCAAGTGTTGGTTGATCGAAAATCCAGAATCTCTGTTTACATGCACACTAACTAAAATGATCCATTCATGTCATGAGGGTATATGCACCAAGTATTCAATCAGATTAAACCGGTTGAGCATGCACAGAGTTGTCTTTCCCAGAAGAAAAAGTAAACAGACACCATGAAACCAAATGAAAAATGTAAAAAGCTCCTGCTTTCCTAATTCATTTAATAATTTTAATGATTTCATTTTGCTCCTCGAAGTTACGTTTTCTTCAGTAAATAACTGCAGGTTTATGCTGCGTTTTACTGTTGACAATATTAAAATAAGGGAGGGTTATCCTTGTCTCTTCCTCTTGATCAGCTGGTCCGCGGGTCTGACGTGACGGCTGGGCTGGGCGCAGCGCGAAGCGAAGCGGGGTGGGGGGTTCAGACCCATGATTCATTACTGAGCTCCGTTGTGGCTTATTAATAAAACGTATCAATCAGCCGAAACTGTTGAGAAAAGTTGGTTCGAACTAAATAACAGGAGATGTTTAGAAAGTTTTGAAGCTGGTTCATCATGTGTTAAACGAGCCGCATCTCATGTTTTTACATAGATATGAATTTACTGTCACCCACAACATTTAACTGAGGATGTTTTTCTACTCATCAGCCTCCTTAAAGAGCAAGTCACCCCCTACCAGAGTCTAACTCCACTCCCACTTCCTGTTTGAAAAATGCAACAAATGCTGTTGCCTGGCAGACCGAGAGGGCGGAGCCGCTAACAAATACACACACACTCAGGCTCACGACAGCATTGTGACATCATAATGTACCAGTTTACATCATAGCATACCTCTTAGCCAATAGCGGTGGCAGATTTAAATTAAAATACAGTGCAGAGTTTTTACCTGACAACGGCACAACACTGCCAGTTTTAGGCAGAATATTTAAATTTTAACTAAGATGCACTGAAGTGCCAAATTATTGACGACTCATGTCTGCAGCACGATTAGACACTCGTTTATTTAGTTTATCAGCAAAAAAAAGTTTATTTGGGGATGACTTGCTCTTTAAAGAGCAAGTCACCCCCTACCAGAGTATTACTCCACTCCCACTTCCTGTTAAGGGCGGAGCCGCTAACACACACACACACACACACACACACACACACACACACACACACACACACACACACACACACACACCACACACACACACACACACACACACACACACACAATGACATTGTGACATCATATGGTACCAGCTAATGTTCTAGGGTACCTCTTAGCCAATAGCGATGGCAGATTTAAATTCAAGTGCAGTGCTGAGTTTTTACCTGACAACGGCACAACACTGACAGTTTTAGGCAGAAGATTTAAATTTTAACTAAATTGCACCAAAGCGCTAAACTATTGACTACACGTGTCTGCAGCATGATTAGTCATACCTTTATATAGTTTATCAGGGAAAAAAAAGTTGATTTGGGAGTGACTTGCTCTTTTAACTCAAACCAGGTGTGTGTAACCGGTGTTACCCTGTCTTCTTTACGAGCACGTCTCCATCCACCTGCTGCAGAACCAGCTGCGCTGCGTACACAGAAACAGGATATGTGCTGCTAACACGAAATGAATCTGTGTGCTTCCAGTACAGACTTGAACATGTTTGTAGAATAATTTGTGCAATAATCAGATTTTTATTTTACTTCCACAAAATGCAAGTTCTGGATTAGATATTACAGAAACGGGGACGGCATGCCATCGTATTTAAAAGCCGGCGCTCGTTAATTAGGCCGTCATTTTTTAAGTCAGGTAGTCTAAATTAGGGCTGCAGCTATCGAATATTTTTGTAATCGAGTACTCTATCGAATTGATTAATCGAGTACTCTAATAAATTACTCTTTTGCGTTTGTAAACCATTATATCAAATAACATGTTATAAAATACGAAAGACTTCTTAAAATTAGCACGTAATTGCCAGTTATTCTTCAAGTTTTATTCAAATTTAGTTTTCAAAACTTCAGCACTTCAACTTTACTTCACAGTAAACAAATGCGAGCGGCTGCGGCCCAAACCGCACCAGAACCGCTCACGGCGCATGCGCAAACATGGCTCGCCAGCTGTTTCCCTATTAACACACGTCCGTTTTAATTTCTACAATTTTTTTTGTCTCACACTAGCAAGGATTATTGAGAAAGCATGTTTGCCGTGGTTATGTCAAATTATACTGATCACAAAACATTTATTTACTTTCTTTCGTTTTCCTCCGCCACTCATAAACACCCGTGTCCTCCTGCAGCAATCCTGAGGGACAACGGACGTCAATAACAACACAGTAAAAAGTCCGACGTGTTGTAAAAACTGCTATTTTTAGCACATTTTAAGTCCGACGTGTTGCTACCAGACGTACGGTGTGAGCTGAAACTGAGCGCTACAAATGAAAAAGTTGCACAGTGTCTTCAGAATATATAGAAATACAGGCTAAAATGCATTATCTTGTAGAGGCTCCGAGTCCGCTTGCAGAAGTGACATTTACATGTGGATGTTTCCTGGTCAGGTGCTGCAGCATGGAGGATGTGGTGTTGTGGTCGGCTAAATCCATTTTACAGTATTTACACTGGACTACGTTTTCCGCCTGACGAAGTGAAAAATGGTCCCACATCTTTGGCATTTTTTGTCTTTTTCACACTCCACCGGGGTCCACGTTGTCCGCCGTGGCTTAAGAGAAAGTTAAGTTAAGCCATGAATTAATTAAACATGAATTAAACGAAGCCTCGAGGCAGAGAATTTGACTCGAGGATTTTTTTTGTACTCGAGTTATTCGAGGTACTCGAGGAATCGTTTCAGCCCTGGTCTAAATGACGCTGGGAGGCTCGCTGGCTGTTGCACACAGCGGGCATTATTTTACTCCAACAATCCAAATGGCTGTGGTCATGCACGTCAATCGGAATGAGGATCGGACAAAACCACCTCTCTCAATCGGATTGAAATTTCATTCCGGTCGAATCGGATCAGAACATTCCGATTGACATGTTTACATGCAGAATTTTTTATTTGATTGGGCGTTCAATCCGATTAAATGTGCGCATGTAAACGTGGCTAGTGTTCTATCTTTGTTGTTCTGACTCCCAGCTACGCAACACTTTCCTCTCGCTGGTGTTTGGTCTCGGGCCTTCGGGTCTATCTTGTTTTAATCAACACTTATCTTGATGTAAACACTGATGCCTGATAAGACAAAATGGCAACAAAGTTCGAAGTGCTGTAACCGTATTATCAAGTAACCACAGGCCCTGGCTGGGCTGTACATGCATGCTCCTCTAGCCACAGTCAGGATAGCAGCAAATATGTTATTAATAATCAAAGCATGAGAGATAAACCACCAAGCATGCCATCTTCAAGGCTCCGTCTCAGGGGTGAGCTCAGAGTGGAGTTTAGGCGCCGACAGGCCCAGACAGGCCCAGGCGGAGAGGCATTCACATTCTAACCCTCTTCTGATGAGTCGCCTCTTTTCCTGTAGAAACTTAGTTTGCTTTGCCCTGAAGCTGAAGGTTTCTTTTTCCTTTCTCAGAGTTTATCTTGTTGATGGTTAATGTTCTGAAATGACTTATTATCTGTGAAAGTCCCGGGGCAACGGGGTAACAGAGGAGAGCTCACTTGGCTGCCCCACCAAGTTGTACGTCCTCCTAAATGATCTAAGGTGGCGAAAGGTGCTCAGAGTTTAGCTGTCTTCAGCAGTACGCGGGCCAAATCCGCCTCGCTCTTCCAGTAAGTGTTTTGTCCCCTTCAGTCCACAGACCAGTCAGACATGGCAGTCAGTGAGGGAGCTGACATTTCGGTCTTTGAATAGAACGCGTCTGGCCTTCTCACTTCTGCCCTTTCCCCCTCATTAAAAGCTGTATGTGGTCTCTGACAGGCACGTTTGGCCGTATCTTCCACGGAGTGCTGCTGGATGAAAAGGATCCCACAAAGGAAAAACAGGTCTTTGTGAAGACGGTGAAAGGTACGCAGCCTCTGCTGTAACTCAGTCATGAAACAGGAATAACTAATGCCGTCGCTGCTGCTCTTTGGTCTGCTCGTCAAATTTCAGCTTCATGTCAAAAATAACGTCCAGATTAAGAACAGCAAATTGTGTTTCTAAACAAACAAGTTTTAACTGTTTCTTGGTGAACCTCACCTTTGTTAAGCTGTGCTGATGATCCCTCGGCCATCGACAGGGTAGGACTGTTGAGTCAGCAGTGAGCCCAGAGTGAGAAGTCTTCATCATGGTGGTAATTAGTGAAGTTCTCTACAGCATCACACTCTGCTGTGATCTTCTGCCTAAAATTAATAAACATAAATAATCCACGGTGCGACGGTGGCACAGAAGTGCACTGAGGAGTTGAATGTGTGTGAATCAGAATCAGTATCAGAATAGGTTTATTGCCATTGTCAGTGAACAAACAATTCACAAACTAGGAACTTGCTTCGGTACTAATGTGCTACATATAACATGAATAATAAGATTAAAAATAGAATAAAATATAATAAAACTAGCATAAAACTTTCAGCTAAAAAAAAGGGGGCAGGTAATGGTAACGTGAATGACCGATTGTGTTGTAGTGCACGTTGGGGGGGGGGGGGGGGGGGGGGTCCTGGACTCTAGAAAGTGCTATATCAAATACAGGACACTCTTATTTCCTGTAGTAGGGTGTGGGTGTTTAGTTTTACTGCGGTGTTTTTGTTTTTCTCCTGTTTTGTAGAGTCTATAACATTTGGCATTTCTTTAACTTGACACACACCCGATAAAAAAATTTGTAAATTAGATAACACAGAATATGTTTAGATCTGTGGCAGCTTAGCTGGTTTTAATCTGACAGCAACACACCGTACGGCCTAGATGTAATCTTCAAAGATTTTTCTTCAGATAGGGAGATTTTAGCCGTAGGGAACAGTGATGTATGGTTACCATGGTAACCGTAATAAGACACTGGCCGTTAAACATGTTTGTTGATCATTTTACATCAAAATGAGGAGTGTTTTAGTCCAGCTTTGATTGAAGCTGGTGCTGGGCGTTTGTCCGCTGTAGCTGCCGTTGCCCCCTTCAGAGTATTTTCTGTTTCGTGCTGCAGGATTGCATGCCAGTGAAAGGGCTGCGCTGGGTTAAACAGTCCATTTCTTTTTCTCTGCCAGTTGCCTTTTGACCCCTCTGCTCTCTGGATGTTTACTCAGAGTGGGGTGGATACCACTCTGTGAACGATTTCCTCGTGCCACTTATGGCTTTGTTAAACTCTTTACTTCCTTCTCATGTGCCTCCTGGGAAGGGAACAATACTTCATTTCCAGAGTAGCAGCCGATGGCAAAGCTGCACACACAGATTAAAAACTAAGACAGCGTAGTTTCCATATAGCATTTCCCACTACTAATGACTGCTGGCGGAGCAGTCGCTCATGAAAGAGATTAAACCAAAACCGTGTGTGGTTAGAAAATAAACGCATCCTTGTGTTTCCGGCTGTCACCACTCACTCCAGTTGGTGTTAGTAATGTGATTCTAATTAAACCCACAGATCATGCCTCTGAGGTGCAGGTGACCATGATGCTGACTGAAAGCTGCAAACTTAGAGGACTCCATCATAGGTAAGCTGTCAAAGTTTTTAAAGATGGCCTTCACTCGTTTCAATAAATGTGCACGCCTCGCGAGTCATTTTCTGTTGAAGAAAGCTCTGGAGCTCCTGTTTCATAGCCTGACCAGCCAGACTTGCCCTCTGTTTAATTCTGCACAGAGAAAGAGTCTGGTTACTCACAGGCAAAGAGGCACTTGAGGGGCGGGACTAGGCAGCTCAAAAATAACCAATCAGAAAAAAGACTGAAATGCCGACTGTACCGCGACGCTGTAGTTTCTTTTTAACCGGAGCAAAAAATGGCGTCTGGCAACGGCACAAACATCTTTTTTTTTTTTTTAGAAGAAATGCTTTTAGCGCTTCTACTCGTGGTTTTAGAGACATTCAAGTCATTTGGAACAGAGGAAAGAGTCGCAGCGAACTCCACTTCAGACTCCATGTTCGACAAACCCGGCGTTATGGTGTGTGACGTACGCGACTCAGCGCTGATTGGCTTGGTTAGAATTCTCAGGAGGTGGGGTTATTTGAATAGGAGAGTTCTCAGACCCTTTCTCTGTGCAGAATTAAACAGAGGAGGAGTCTGGCAGGCCAGACTACCTGTTTTAGGAAGTAGGAGTAGAAAACGGCAGGATTTACTTATTAATATTCATGATATGTGAACATCTCGCGTCGGATTGGCTAACAGCAAAAGGACTCTTCCGCTGTCTCCGTTTGTTGTTCTTTCTTGGGTAAAAAATGCAACATGATGTTTTATCTCTGCACCAGCCAGACACCAGATGTTGTGGAATTGCTAATGCTAGTAGTTAGCTTCTATGAGCCAAGATGCACAATGTGGGCAATGAAGAGAATCTCAGGCTGACTGAGATGAAAAAGAAAAAGTATTACACGTTTGTCAGTGAACCTCATCTTGAAGAAGTTATTGTTTATTTACTCTGCTTTTTATTAAAAGTAAACAAATATAAATAAAAAATCTAACTGCACTAAGACACTAAGGCCTAGTCCACACGTAGCCGGGTTTTTTAAAAACGAATATCCGCCCCTCCAAAAACTTGCATCCACACCACCGCGTTTTAAAAACAAGCTCTGTCCACACGTACCCGGATAAATACGTTGTAAAGGACATGCCAGACCTGTAGGCGGCAGTACTTCCCCCGTTCTTAACCTCGTCCTTCGTCTGTGGTCTTCCGCAAGGAGCAGTAATTCCGCTTGCAAACACAAACAAGCAGAAAGCGCTTGGACAATTGATGGATCGGGTAGTGACAGAGCGCAGCTCTGAGGGCATCCATGCTGTCGGCTAGTGTAAACACATTTCGCACACGTGATGTCAGCATTTTTTTGTCGCGGAAAGTGACGTTGCGGACCTTAAAACTCCGGTTTTGTCTGTCCACACGCAGACACCCAAAACGGAGAAAATGCAGATCTTCACTTTGGCCGGAGTTTTTAAAAAGATCCGTTTTCGTGTGAAAAAACTCCGTTTTTGTGTGGATGACAGGCCAAAACGTAGAAAAATATCTACGTTTTGGCAGATCCCCGGCTACGTGTGGACAGGGCCCTAGTCTAACCTGGTTTGTGTGTCAGAGTCTTCTTAGCTGGTTCCCTGTCTCATAGCTAGGCCTTGAAAAACTTTGGACATTGACCTTTTTGCTTCTTCACTCAAACATGCGCCTGACGATTTCAGAAGAGGTTATGAAATGACGCTTTGAGTCAAAAGTCATCTTGAGGAGCACATTTGTCAGTAAAAGTCCTGAAGCTGATTCTAAGAAAGCTGTTTTCACTTGGCGAATGTCAAAAAGTGTTATAAAGTTAAAGTCCCACAGTCATCATCACACAGTGGTGAAATTGCATCTCCGCATTTGACCCACCCCCGTGGGGAGCGGTGAGCTGCAGCTGTGGCTGTGCTCAGGATCTATTTGATGGTTTAATCCTCCAATCCAGAGGAAGAAAACTCCTAGAGGTCATGCAGGTCCTGGTGCATCAAAACGTATGCTCATACCTTATTTTGAGGGTTTGTTTTGCTTGTGCTTAAGCTCTACCAAAGGGTGAAAGGCAGGTGCAGGTGAAATCTCTGTGTTTATGTACGTGCGTGTGTGTGTGTGTGTGTGTGTGTGTGTGTGTGTTTTAATGAGATATTGGACAAAAGCTACTTAAACTTTAAAAATGCTGATTATGCTTCTTCAACTGACACGATTGGAGTTGAAAAAAAACGTCCTCACGAATGCTGTTCATATTTTTGTCTACCGCCCAGAGAGGTGCTAGCTTTACCAAACACAAAGCTGACCATAATGCAGTTGATTTTGTGGATGTTGAACCGAATCGGGTGTTGCTTTAGTACATGATGTTATTGTCTAACCCTGGTATGAAAGATGGCAGGTGAGATGCATTCCTTCCAGAAGTTACTTTATTTTCTGTTTCCTGGAGACATCAGGAGCTGCTGCTGGGATCTTGAGTAAAACAGGATATAATTTAACAAACAGAGAAAAGGTTGTCTGGGTATTTATGTTTATGTGTTTAGCAGACGCTTTTGTCCAAAGCGACTTACAAGTGATAATCGGCATGTTGCCCTTGAGGCTAACAACAACAATAACAACAACAACTTGACATCAATCATGGAGAGGAGGGAACAAGGAGTGGACAGTAGAGAGGGGGGACAGGTGCAGGGAGGGTGCTAGTTAAGAAGATGCTCTCTGAAGAGCAGGGTCCTCAGGAGTTTCTTGAAAATTGAAAAGGAAGCCGCAGTTCTGGTGGTGCTTGGTAGGTCATTCCACATTTGTGGAACGATGCATGAGAAGAGTCTGGATTGTCCTGAGCGTGGTGTAGGCACTGCTAGCCGATGATCCTGTGATGACCGGAGCGGCCGGGCCGAGACGTAAGCCTTTGCAAGAGGATTCAGGTAGATGGGAGCCGTACCATCACGGACTTTGTATGCTAGTGTTAGCAATTTGAATTTGATGCGTGCTGCTAGCGGTAGCCAGTGGAGCTCAATGAACAGAGGGGTGACGTGTGCTCTTTTTGGCTGGTTGAAGACCAGACGCGCCGCTGCATTCTGGACTAGGGCTGCAGCTATCGAATATTTTTGTAATCGAGTACTCTATTGAATCTTTTTTTCGATTAATCGAGTACTCTAATAAATTACCCTTTTGTGTTTGTAAACCTTTATATCATATATTGATGAGCCAAGATGGCGCCGAGTATGGCTGCCTCGTCCGAGCTCCACCAAGTTCCAACATTACACGCTCCATACTGTACATTAATGCCACTGTTTTGCACATACCAACCTCTGTACATTTTATATCTCTTATCTTATTGTTTACTTTATTCATTTGTATACTTAGATTAGCCATTTTTATATTTTACTTGTTTTTACATTACTGTATTTTTGCACAACTCTATTGCTGTGAAGCTCGCACACAAGAATTTCACTCGCATGTACTGTACCAGTGTACCTGCACATGTGACGTGACAATAAAAGTGATTTGATATCAAATAGCATGTTATAATTATGAAAGACCTCTTAAAATGAGCAAGCAATTGCCAGTTATTCAAGTTTTATTCAAAATTTGTTTGCATAACTTCAGCACTTCAACTTTACTTCACAGTAAACAAATGCCTGAGCAAAAAATAAGTAAACCTGAGCCGATTTTCCCCTCGTGCGAGAATCTGCTAGCCTGCAAGCCAGACAAAAACTAGGAGGATAACGCTGCGAGCGGCTGCGGCCCAAACAGAACCAGAACCGCTCACGGCGCAAACAGCTCGCCGGCTGTTTCCCTATTAACACACGTTTGTTTTAATTTCTACACTTTTTTTTCTCACACTAACAAGGATTGCCAAAAGCATGTTTGCTGTGGTTTTGTCAAATTATACTGATCACAAAACATTTATTTACTTTCTTTCGTTTTCCTCCGCCACTCATAAATACCCGTGTCCTGCTGCAGAAACCCCGAGGGACAACAGACATCAATAACACAATAAAAAGTCCGACGTGTTGTGTAAAAACTGCTATTTTTAGCACATTTTAAGTCCGACGTGTTGCTACCAGACGTACGGTGTGAGCTGAAACTGAGTGCTACAAACGAAAAAGTCGCAGAGTCCGCAGAATATATAGAAAAACAGGCTAAAATGCATTATCTTGTAGAGAATCCGAGTCCGCTTGCAGAAGTGACATTTACAGGTGCTGCAGCACGGAGGATGTGGTGTTGTGCTAGGCTAAATCCATTTTACTGTATTTATACTGGACTACGTTTTCCGTCTTACGACGTGAAAAATGGTTCCACAACTTTGACATTTTCTGTCTTTTTCGCACTCCACCGGGGTTCAAGTTGTCCGCCATGGCTTAAGAGAAAGTTAAGTTATATTCGCTACTCGCGTGTGCATTCAGTTCAGTGGGCATGTGCGTCACTTATTTCGGTCCGGGTGAAACATGACCCCGGGCAATTGCAAAGCCATGAATTAATTAAAAATGAATTAAACGAAGCCTCGAGGCAGAGAATTTGACTCGAGGATTTTTTGTACTCGAATTATTCGAGGTACTCGAGGAATCGTTTCAGCTCTATTCTGGACCATTTGAAGAGGTCTCACAGTACAGCCTGGAAGACCAGTTAGAAGGGCTTTGCAGTAATCGAGGCGGGAGATGACAGTAGATTGCACCAGGAGCTGGGTGGCATGTTGTGTTACCCCGGCTTTCCATGGGAGCCGGCAGCAGCACGTCATAGCTGCTGATAGGAACCGCTGTGGTCAACAGAGCCTTTTCCACTGGAGCCGTCAGCAGCGCGAGTCGGCCGCGTCTCAGGAGCAGCAGGTCGCGGCCTTTACGCGCCGGTTCTATTTTCTACGCGCGACGCCTCTGAAACGGGTCAAGTTCGGCATTTTTGGGGAAGGAAAGACAGGAAATCGGACGCGGAAATCAGATTTTCAGAATAAAGAACGTACTGCCTTCCGGTTGCTTTTCTTTTAAAAAAGGTTACTAACTGTGCGTCCCCGTGAGAAGTTATCACCTAGCTAGCGGTCTCCTTTGTTTTTCAGGTCCGTATTGGCGATTATAAAACGGACAGAACATAAAACACAAACCATGTTGTAATTTTCTCCTGCTTGTTGTTGTGTTTACTGACGAAGTCACTCGTGTGACTTCGTGCTCTGTCGGTGACAGCTGCTCCCCTGCTGCTTCGCGTCTCGTGGGAAGGGCCAAGCAGCAGCTAGACGTGCTGCTGCAGTAACGTGCTGCTGACGGCTCCTGTGGAAACCCAGGGTTAGGTATGGTCTGATCTTTCGTCTGTTATAAAGCGCAAAGCGGCATGAACGGGCAACAGAGGCAACATGATCATTAAAGGTCAGGTGCTCATCAATCACAACACCCAGATTTCGAACTGCCTTTGAAGGAGCCAGAGATAGGAAGTCATTTTGGATTGAGATATCGTGCTGTATGGATGGTTTTGCTGGGATGACAAGTAGTTCAGTTTTAGAGAGGTTGAGTTGGAGATGGTGGGATTTCATCCATTTTGATATGTCAGAGAGACAGTTTGATATTCGTGCAGAGACAGTGTGGTCGTCCGGTGGAAATGACAGATAGAGCTGGGTGTCGTCTGCATAGCAGTGGTAGGAGAAGCCCTGTGATCAACTGATCTCACCCAGTGAGGTGGTGTATATGGCAAAGAGAAGAGGTCCTAGTACAGAGCCCTGGGGGACTCCTGTGGCAAGATGGTGCACGGTAGAGGATTGTCCAAGCCAAGATACACTGAATGATCGTCCTGTGAGGTACGATTCAAACCAGGCGTGTGCTTTCTCTGTGATGCCCATGCTAGAGAGTGCGGACAAAAGGAAGCCACGGTTGACAGTGTCAAATGCAGCCGATAAGTCGAGCAGGATAAGCACTGAGGATTCGGCTGTCGCTCTAGCTTCTTTTAAGGATTCCGTCACTGCTAACAGAGCCGTTTCAGTGGAGTGGCCCTTTTTGAACCCAGATTGGTAAGGGTCAAGCAGACAGTTTTGTGAGAGGTACTCTGTGATCTGCTTGAAAGCCACCCTTTCAATGATTTTGGACAGAAAAGGGAGGAGAGAGATAGGTCGGTAGTTCTCCACATGATTTGGAGGAAGAGATGTTTTTTTAGTAGCGGTTTAACCTGAGCATGCTTGAGAGAGGTGGGAAATGTACCGGATGTGTGTGTGTGTGTGTGTGTGTGTGTGTGTGTGTGTGTTCAGATTTACAGACACAGGCGTGTGAACACACACACACACACAGAGCTTAAGTAAAGGTGACGCTCATCAGTGTTGTTTCCTCCCCTGCTGCCTACAGAAACCTGCTGCCCATAAGCCATGTGTGTATAGAGGATGGGGAGAAACCCATGATGCTGCTGCCCTTCATGGCCTGGGGGAATCTCAAACTCTTTTTGCGCCAGTGCAAGCTAGCTGAAGCTAACAACCCTCAGGTGAGACTTCCTCCCACAATTCACTCTCTGGAGATGTCAGCTAAATAAAGATTAAACAACGTAAAAGCCTCCTTCGACACATCGAGACATTTGTTAGGCACTTAAAATCAGTTGCCTTAATTAGAAGCAATTCCACATTCAGTTTCAAACATGAAGAAGTGTTTTGGTAGCAGCAGTCATCTGAAAGTGGCACTTACAGCTTCTGCCGTTCACCGCGTTGTTATCAGACTGTTTATGTAGCTTTCCAGCTTCGGGCGTTTGTGCAGGTGAAGCTGGAGAGTCTTTGATCAAGATCCAACATACTGATGTAGCAAACATTTCACAATCACAAGATGAAGCTTGTCTTCTGTTTGCATTCATCTAAACCCCTTTGTGAGGCTTCTGGCTGCATGTCTGCACCTTCCTTCTCTCCAGTTTCAGTCCGGCAGCTGCAGGAGACAGAGTCATTAAGTTGTGCTGTTGATGTCAGCATGGAGCAGTAAGTCTGGGCTGCTTTTGCGGCAGATGACAGGGCTGCTGTATCGGGCAAAGTATTGTTTATATGTTTATCTTTGCTCTTTTTCACCTCACAACAGTGATTTTATTTGATCTTTCTAATTCTCTGTTGGTCTCACAGGTGATTTTCCTCTGTTGTGGTCAAGTGCAGTTCAATTTAGGTTTTATTCACCAAAAATGTATAAATCATACATTTATGTGCTGCAGAAGCAACATGAGTTTACTTTTATTGTTTATTCTCGGCTACTGAGGATGTTTAGGAACATTGTGAACAGCCAGGGGTCTTTTCCCCAACACACCTGCTGGTTGGTCTATTGTCTGAGCAGGTCGCACCCCGTAGCAGCGGACCTGCTGCCTTCTTTGAGCTTTCTGCATCAGATGTCCGGCTCAATGCTGCTTACAATGTTTTTCAACGGATATTTCATCTATTTCCAAGTGTGCTTCTGTCTAAAAGTTATAAATAATGACGTCAGAAATGAATTCCTGAACAGCCCATGTTGTCTGTGTCTTTATTTGAACATGCGTGCATACACATAGTAATACACACAACATAAGTCACTTCTCCTCGTTTTTTAAATGTTTTAATTCACATGTTCAAAAGGGAGTAGGAAGAAGCGTCAGCTTATTTAATCCCACCCCTTTCTCGACATCAACTAACTAATAGTTATTTAATGTTATCTGGTAGTTTTTTTGCTAATGACTTTGCAACATATTCACACAAATGGCACGTGGTTTATCAAGATCATATCATAAACGCAAACATTTTGTGTTCAGGCACACACTTTTGGACCTTCATGTTTGGACATTTGTTCAATTCATCACTCATCCTGTTCCACAGTTTCACACCGCGCGCGCGCGCACACACACACACACACACACACACACACACACTGAAAGTTTTTAATGTTGTTCGGACTCGAGCATGTTTGAATTTTAACTCCCCTCGTAACTGATGCCTCCCCTCCCTTTTATGAAACAGCTTTAATATGTTGTCTGGAAGCAGTTTGTTGTTTACTTCATACATCAGCTGTGAATACAGCCAGGAATGAGTAAAAATCCCAGTAGAGTCTGGTGAAGAAAATGCTTGGTGGAGTTAATGTGCCATTAGACTTCCCTTCCCAGTCCAGCATGAGCATTCAGATGAATCGAATGAACAGGTTGAAAAGAATAACCGTCATAAATCTGTGTGTTTTTATGGTATTTTACCATTTATGTTGATGGATTTATCTCACGCCGGGTGGTGGAGCTGTGCTAGCATATTAGCAACACAGGTGATTCGACTGTGTTTCAACTCACCGTTAGCTCATCGGTTCTGTATGTTGTAAACTTTTAGCGTCTTCACATCTGGCCTGGTGCAGTCTGGTCTTGGTGGCGCCGGCACGCCCCAGTGCAGGTTTTATTCACGCGGCCTTCTCAGGAACATGGATGGCTCCGAGCATACGGCTGGGGCAAAAGACGCTACAGCACCTAAACCAAAACACGTCCAGATACCAACAATGACAAGTTGTTGTTGTTCACTGATCAATCTGTCATTTACTTGAGTTTGAACTAAGCTTTAAACAAAGGAAACAAACTACAAAACTGATTTCTAGCAACTTCCTGAAAACACATTTTGTCTGTGGCATTATACATTTTAAGTGTTTTTCTTAGTTGTGTGTTGAACTGATTTTATCTTTTTCCGACAGTTCCTGTTGGTTTGAACTGATCTGCAGCTCGGCACTCGCTGCGTTTGTTTGTTTAACGACTAAAATAATCTCTGTGTGATCCTCCCGTCTTTGACCCAATTCAAAGGAAACTAGAAGTTTGACACGGGCGAAACATTTCACCACATTAAAGCCACATTAGCTGGGCTCCACACTGCCCTGGTTTTATTGCCTTCCTGTCTCACTCCTCTTCGCACTGCTGCTCCCATTTCCTCCCAGGCGATCTCTCAGCAGGACCTGGTCTACATGGCCATCCAGATCGCGTGTGGAATGAGCTACCTGGCTCGCAGGGAGGTCATCCACAAAGACCTCGCTGCTCGGAACTGCGTGTAAGTGTGTCTGACCCTGGCCTGGCGTGTCTTCCCTGCAGCTTCCAGGTGATTTACTTTGGAATTTGCCTCCTCACTAATGAGCCCACCTTCTCCCTACTCTGTTCCACAGCATTGACGACAACATGCAGGTGAAGATCACAGACAATGCCCTGGCTCGAGATCTGTTTCCTATGGACTACCACTGTCTGGGGGACAACGAGAACCGTCCGGTCCGCTGGATGGCCCTGGAAAGTTTGCTCAACAACGACTTTTCCAGCGCGAGTGATGTGGTGAGGAATACAGCGGCAGATGCAGCACTTCCTGTCCCTCAGCACAACTTATTTTCATCAAGACTAAGAAGGCGATCCAGGAAATAAAGCTAATTGTCTGGGAAACATTTTTAGGTTCTTGGTCTTGGCTTCAAACGGAGGGGCGGTGCGGTGTGGTGGGGCGTCGTGTGTTGCTGGCTCGCCCCTCTTTCCTGTCCAAAGATAGCAGGGCGGGTGTGGCAGAAACTGTTATGAAGCCTAGCAGATCTTCAGACTCCCGTACCAGCCAGACATCCCCCCCCCCCCCCCCCCCCCCTCGTCACTCCTCTTATGGTCATCCCGCTCCTGAGGCCCTAGCCATTAGCAAACAGCTGAGCTTCAGGGAAAGTCCATACAAGTCCCTGTGCATCACCATTACGCACATAGCTACTCCACGCCCATCGACGGCTGCGCTTCAGCACGTCAGATTACAAACTCTACGTGACAAAAGAGCTCGACTGACATGTTTACATCTAGCTGGAAATGTTTGCAGTGGCCTGGGCAGTAGAGTGGGTGACTGTGTGGAGAGCCTTTTCCTCTGAACAGCCCTCCCATCACTTCCAGGATCCCAGGAGTCCTTTATCGCTCCCTAACAACCTGCAACACAACAGCTTGCTGCTCTGTGTAGCTTAGTGGGCTCACGTCTTTGTTTTAGAGAAATATCAGCAAATCTGTGATGTTCAAACATGTTTGGGATCAACACCTGCATTAAGCATAAAAAAAGATGCGTGGAGTTTCAGTTGGAGTACACATTACTTGAACAGCGAGTTACATATGAGCAGGTCAGGTGGGGTGTATGATGCAACTACAAGCTAATTACAACAGCAGATGTTCTTGTTGCCCTTTTAGTGTGGCGTGATTGGTTTGGTATTTACATTCCCGGCTTTAGCCTCTCCCTGCTGCAGAGCGTAAGGGGCATATGCCCGAATCGCACTTTGCCATTTTTGGCCGTTGCACAGGATTGTTCGTGTCGCACTGAGAACTCCAGAAAGGTGGCGCGCTGTTTGTACGGCGTATGATTTCAGCGAGGCGGACTGCACAGCATCTCGCTCCTGCAGGACACGCAACGTCATGAGCTGAAAGCAAACGCCAGCAGACCGCCAACCAAAGCCAATGTGAAAAGATAAAATAAAGCGTCATCGTTAACACTTCTTTTTAGCATCGGCTCATGACCCAGCTCGTCTTCCTCAAAGAGGTTTTAAAACCCCTCGCTTTGGCCTCACACTCCAGCTGCGTGTCTCCTTTTCCCGTCTTTCAGATAAACCGCTGAACTGTCTGTTGGACGTTCGTCCTTCTGATCCTCCTGACTAAAATAAAATCCCACTAACCTACAGAGAAGTGACAATCTGTCACAGATCGCTGCGATATCTAAACTTTTGCCGTGAATTCTGTCTCGCTGTTAACTCACTGAGCTCATCACACACGCTGTCTCGGAGCAGAGTATCCTCTCTCTCTCTGCAGCTACTGAGCCACCCTTATCGGCTGAATATGTGAAATTTCCACCAACAGCAAAGGGATCTCATGTTTTTGTGTTTTAATTTTTACGTATGTGAGCTCGTCTCCTCTCGGCTCCCACAGATCACAGAATCACGGTTTTCACAATTTATCTGATGGTCTACAAATGTAGGTTCATTATGTTTACTATAACGCCGGTTTAACTTGGGCTATTAACATTTTTTGAGGCCGATTTGGTCGTGAGACGGCTCAGAAAGCTGTCATAGAGCTGGTCACACTGTGCGTTCACAGCATGGTGGTGCACATGTATGCAAATCACCCTCACGTTGACCGATTTTTGTCACGATTCTGCTCGGGGCGAGGGATTTGGCAAAGACGGCCAAAAATCGCACAGTGTGATCCAGGCATTAGAGTCACTGCTAAGGACGTCCTGGTCCCTGCACGTCCAAAGCAAGAGCTGCATCGACATCACTCGTACAAAGTCGAGCGTGTTCCCAGTGTAGGTTGGACTTCACCAGGGTGGCTCCGTCTCAGATCCTCCTGTTTGTAGCGGAAATTGAAAACTCTGTCAAAAGTTTTGAGATGCTTTAAACTAGGGATGTCCCGATCAGGTTTTTTTGCCCTCGAGTCCGAGTCATTCGATTTTGAGAATCTGCCGATACCGAGTCCCGATCCGATACTTTTGATACATTAAAAAAGAGAAAGAAAAGGAAGAAATAGTTCCAGAATGTTCCTTATTTTTTATTTAATTACCTTTTTATTTTAATTTTTAACAACAGATCACTTCTGTGAGGTAGCTTGAACAATCAAGTAATAAATAACATAAAATCTTCACTTTTGGACTTTATTGCAAATATAAAAGTCTAATATAAAAACAGATAGCACTTCAACTTAAAATACCTGGCAGGGGTCTATTTTGCCTCAGCCCCCAAAATGCTTAGATACGCCCCTGGGCATGGGAGGGAGTTCTGAAGATGATCTGAATTGTATCAACTATATAAATACTACTAAATATATAAATACTACATGCTGAAACTAGGTTATTGCTTCATACAGGTACACACGTGTAGTGGGATCAATCTACCCACATTTTATTTTGTTAAGAACTTTGTTTTGTTTTCTTGGTTTTTATTTTCCTGTCTTCCTGTCCTGTTTGTCTCTGATCTTCCTGTCCTGTCTGTCTCTGATCTTCCTGTCTGTCTGTCTCTGATCTTCCTGTCCGGTCTGTCTCTGATCTTCCTGTCTGTCTGTCTCTGATCTTCCTGTCCTGTCTGTCTCTGATCTTCCTGTCCGGTCTGTCTCTGATCTTCCTGTCCGGTCTGTCTCTGATCTTCCTGTCCTGTCTGTCTCTGATCTCCCTGTCCGGTCTGTCTCTGATCTTCCTGTCCTGTCTGTCTCTGATCTTCCTGTCCGGTCTGTCTCTGATCTTCCTGTTTGTCTCTGATCTTCCTGTCCGGTCTGTCTCTGATCTTCCTGTCTGTCTCTGATCTTTCTGTCCTTCTGTCTCTGATCTTCCTGTCCTGTCCTGTCTGTCTCTGATCTTCCTGTCCTGTCTGTCTCTGATCTTCCTGTTTGTCTCTGATCTTTCTGTCCTTCTGTCTCCGATCTTCCTGTCCTGTCCTGTCTGTCTGTCTCTGATCTTCCTGTTTGTCTCTGATCTTCCTGTCCGGTCTGTCTCTGATCTTCCTGTCTGTCTCTGATCTTTCTGTCCTTCTGTCTCCGATCTTCCTGTCCTGTCCTGTCTGTCTCTGATCTTCCTGTCCTGTCTGTCTCTGATCTTCCTGTCCTGTCTGTCTCTGATCTTCCTGTCCTGTCTGTCTGTCTCTGATCTTCCTGTCCTGTCTGTCTCAGATCTTCCTGTCCTGTCTGTCTCTGATCTTCCTGTCCTGTCTGTCTCTGATCTTCCTGTCCTGTCTGTCTCTGATCTTCCTGTCTGTCTCAGATCTTCCTGTCCTGTCTGTCTCTGATCTTCCTGTCCGGTCTGTCTCTGATCTTCCTGTCCGGTCTGTCTCTGATCTTCCTGTCTGTCTCTGATCTTTCTGTCCTTCTGTCTCTGATCTTCCTGTCCTGTCCTGTCTGTCTCTGATCTTCCTGTCCTGTCTGTCTGTCTCTGATCTTCCTGTCCTGTCTGTCTGTCTCAGATCTTCCTGTCCTGTCTGTCTCTGATCTTCCTGTCCTGTCTGTCTGTCTCAGATCTTTCTGTCCTTCTGTCTCTGATCTTCCTGTCCTGTCTGTCTGTCTCTGATCTTCCTGTCCTGTCTGTCTGTCTCAGATCTTCCTGTCCGGTCTGTCTCTGATCTTCCTGTCCGGTCTGTCTCTGATCTTCCTGTCCTGTCTGTCTCTGATCTTCCTGTCCTCACTGTCTCTGATCTTCCTGTCCTGTCTGTCTGTCTCAGATCTTCCTGTCCTGTTTGTCTCTGATCTTCCTGTCCTGTCTGTCTGTCTCAGATCTTCCTATCCGTCTGTCTCTGATCTTCCTGTCCTGTCTGTCTCTGATCTTCCTGTCCTGTCTGTCTCTGATCTTCCTGTCCTGTCTGTCTCTGATCTTCCTGTCCTGTCTGTCTCTGATCTTCCTGTCCTGTCTGTCTCTGATCTTCCTGTCCTGTCTGTCTGTCTCTGATCTTCCTGTCCTGTCTGTCTCAGATCTTCCTGTCCTGTCTGTCTCAGATCTTCCTGTCCTGTCTGTCTCTGATCTTCCTGTCCTGTCTGTCTCTGATCTTCCTGTCCTGTCTGTCTCTGATCTTCCTGTCCTGTCTGTCTCTGATCTTCCTGTCCTGTCTGTCTGTCTCTGATCTTCCTGTCCTGTCTGTCTCTGATCTTCCTGTCCTGTCTGTCTCAGATCTTCCTGTCCTGTCTGTCTCTGATCTTCCTGTCCTGTCTGTCTCAGATCTTCCTGTCCTGTCTGTCTCTGATCTTCCTGTCCTGTCTGTCTCTGATCTTCCTGTCCTGTCTGTCTCTGATCTTCCTGTCCTGTCTGTCTCTGATCTTCCTGTCCTGTCTGTCTGTCTCTGATCTTCCTGTCCTGTCTGTCTCTGATCTTCCTGTCCTGTCTGTCTCTGATCTTCCTGTCCTGTCTGTCTCTGATCTTCCTGTCCTGTCTGTCTGTCTCTGATCTTCCTGTCCTGTCTGTCTCAGATCTTCCTGTCCTGTCTGTCTCAGATCTTCCTGTCCTGTCTGTCTCAGATCTTCCTGTCCTGTCTGTCTCTGATCTTCCTGTCCTGTCTGTCTCTGATCTTCCTGTCCTGTCTGTCTCTGATCTTCCTGTCCTGTCTGTCTCTGATCTTCCTGTCCTGTCTGTCTCTGATCTTCCTGTCCTGTCTGTCTCTGATCTTCCTGTCCTGTCTGTCTCTGATCTGCCTGTCCTGTCTGTCTCTGACCTTCCTGTCTCTGATCTTCCTGCATCTCCCAGTCCTCCAGAAAAACTCCTGCCTGCTTCCTTCATTTTCACCTCACAACTAACTTTTTAACCAGCAGATCAAATTGATCTATTGACTGCAAAAGAAGCGGAGTGTGCGCGGCGCTGCCCGGCTGCGCCAGTGACGAGCGCTGCAGCGCGAGCGCGTCCACACGTCATGCTCAAACACAGACAGAACTTACCAGAGAGGAAATGAACGGACACGAACGACTGTGTGTTAATTATATTTTTTTGGCGACGCCACTTAGAAACTTAGAACATGTGACTGTGGCCGTGTGCAGAACGCAGCTGGAGTTCATGAATAATCAGCGGTCTGCCTGCTGCTCTGCTCTAAAGAGTCCCCGCTACGCTGAGACCATGTAAATAATATAATAAAGGTCTCTGGATCTCTGTGCTCCTTCTGGGTGCGTAAGCTAAGGGCATCAGGGGAGCCTGACAACCTTTAAGGAGAACCAAGTTGCTCTCCTGTAATTTGAACCTACTATCCGAGTCCGGATCGGGGCTTGGATCGGGAAGTAAAGCCCGAGTCCCGATCAGCCTGAAACCACGTGATCAGGGCCGATTTCCGATCATGTGATCGGATCGGGACATCCCTTCTTTAAAATACCTCCAGTGAGTGCTGTTTGCAGTAGAGAGGCTGGCTTTAGTGTTAAGGAATATTAAGTTTTTTTTATTTACACCTGTAAGAAGATGCTTCTTCTCATCTCTGCAGCAGCCTGCATGAACACCAGATGTCCACCGCCACGGCCCCCCTACTCCCACCAGCCACTCTCCCGTTTACACGCGCTCAGAAGCGTGCGTCATTGGTTTACATTCTGAATACATTTTTGCCATAGTTCCCTCTCATTGTTCTGGATGGTTTTGTATGAGAATGCAGATGAGCACCGCTGGTGTACTGGTTTGAATAAACAACTGGTTGGTGATGTTTATCCTGGTAAATGAAAACGGATGAGAGCCAACAGTCTGTTGTGTGTTCGTAGGAAATGCTGCCCGCTTCTCAACAGTGACCTCATAATCATGTGCCGTGTGTTCACAGTGGGCCTTTGGAGTGGCGCTGTGGGAACTCATGACTTTGGGGCAGACCCCCTACGTCGACGTCGACCCCTTTGAGATGTCGGCTTACCTGAAAGACGGCTACAGAATAGCACAGCCGATCAACTGTCCAGACGAACTGTGAGTGGATCTTCTGAGAACGTACAGGTTTAAGTGCATGTGTCATGTTTTTACGGGGCTCTCTGGGCCTGAAGCCAATGCAGAGGTGCTAACAAATGCATACACTCACACTAACAGCTGCTGGATGCTCCAAAATCTGGTCGACACCAGCAGGAAGAAAACATGCTTGAGTCTAGTTTACGCTGCTCCACCTGCGTCGGTGTGGAGAGGCGTTGTCCGTCGTTGCGAGGGCTCTCCAACAGGCACACGAGGACGGATGGAGTCCAGCCCACTTACTGAAACATCCGTCAAACAAGATGAAGAACACAAGCTTGTGATTGGCCAGGACACTGCTGCCTTCAAATTCATCAACAGCATCGCCCCCTCAAAAGAAAAAAAGAGAGCCAAAGATGTCTATCGGCAGACGCGGAGCAGCTTGAATAAAACCTCCTAAAACTCTAAAAGTATGAACGTTTATTCACCTGTGACTGAAGGACAATAAGGATATGCAGCAAGCGTTTTATTCCTGGGCGGAAATGACGAGAAACGTGGATTTAGAGGTGGCGAGTGCAAGAAGAGAATGAGGGACAAATCTTCCTGTGTTAAAAGTATCAGAAATACAGTAGATGCACCATCTTGGACAGGATACTCCAGAACAGCGCTACGCCCTCTGGTGTCCTGGCAGGGATTTGCATTGCAACACTCCCCAAATGACGGAGAAGCCCAAAGGCTAAACGTCTCCATCAGTACGTGTGCGTGTCTCCCGCGTGGAGCCGACGGGGAAGCATGAATTAGGCTTTACAGGAGTGCAGTAGGATGACGTGCTTGCCCAAGGACACAACAGCAGAATTCCCTGTAGGGAGCTGGGATTGATCCCATGACCCTTCAATTACTGGACGATCCTCTCTACCTCCTGAGCGACTGCATAGATCTTTTAGCAGTTCTTACCTGCAGTTTTCATTCTTGCATTATTAGAGTAATAACATTTAATGTTTTGATGCTATAGAGCCATTTTATGCCAAATGTTGCCGTATTTTGTGGTTAATGTTCTGAAGCTTGGTTTGAAGAAAATCATTTAATTGAAATCACAATTTATTTTAGAAAGAAGGTTTTCAGTTTTTCCTAAAACTGTTCAGCCTTTGTGTTCGGTACCAGAAACCGTGGCGGTGTAAAGGGCGGGTTTCTCCGACGGGTCCAACCTTCCAGCCTCCTTCTGCCCTGCACGTCTGTTGTCCACACCTGTTATGGGGGCTGCAGCTTTCCTCATCAGGACCATCAGCCTGATGAGGATTACCATAATTTCCTGTTAGACTCGATTCATCCACTGGTGGCTGCAGGTAGGGGGAAAGTTGTGCCTGTCAGGATCCATGGGATAAGCCGGGGTGTGGGGGCGTGACTGAGGATATCCAAGCACTTTAAACCCCGGATCTTCATAGACAAGGACTTCAGAGACCTGAACAACCTGAAGGATGGAGAGTCACGGGTTTGATTTGCAAACTGTCTCACTACGATTGGGGGCAGCAGTAGCCCAGGAGGTAGAGCGGGTTGCCTCCTGATCGGAGGGTCATGGGTCCGATTCCAGCTCCCAGCAGGGGTATCCTGCTGTTGTGTCTTTGGGCAAGACACTTCACCCAAATTGGCTGTGTTGGTGGTGGTCAGAGGGGCCGACGGCGCCAAATGGCAGCCTCGCCTCTGTCAGACCTCCCCAGGGCGGCTGTGGCTACAAGCAGCTTACCATCACTAGCAGTGTGTGAATGTGAGTGTCCTAAACAAGCGCTATATAAGTTTGATGATTATTATTTTATTTTAAGATCAAGGATAAAACACATGACTGCTCTTTTCTGCCTGATCTATCAAAGTTGATGAAAAGTGAAGAGTCGTCTAGGCAGCTACACAAATATCTGGTTTAAATTTTCCTAATTCACCAGGGTGTAGCGCGTCGGGGGGTCTGGCAGCTAAATAACTACATTTTGGGCTGCAATGTGTTTCAGTAGGAGAATTTGCACACCTGTTATTTAATATCACAAAATGTTTTGCACGTTAGAATTAGTCACCTTCTTCTTCGTCAAACATTACGTGTAACTTCTTCAGATTGAGAAATCTCCATAAACACTCCACTATCAGTTAGCTGGCACCTGCAGTGAGGTGTGTGTGTGTGTGTGTGTGTGCGTGTGTGTGTGTGTGTGTGTGTGTGTGTGTGTGTGTGTGTGTGTGTGTGTGTGTGTGTGTGTGTGTGTGTTTAGCTGCAGCCAGGCTTGTTCTTACAGGCTTTCAACAAAAGAAGCGTGCTGCTGGTGAGACGTTGTTTATGTAACAGCAGAGCTGAAATGTTCAGCTGCTGCACGTCGAGCTTATCAACATCCTGCAACTGTCAAGAATTAGGAGTAACCTTTGCCCACTGGCATCATTTTCTCACCACGCCATTGTTATTTACAGGCTGTTTCCTCAATATTGACTCCGCGACCAGGCTGCCACCTCCTCACTCATGGATGAGAACCGGGTTTTTTCCCCAGCTCAGAGCAGACCTTCTGTAGCCGGGTTGAATGGGTTTTACTGCCTCATGACTGAAAACTGGCAAATGGTCAAACTTGGGCTTTTAGTTGTAAAACTCATTAAAATAAGTCTGATAATCTAATCAGATGTCTTAATTATTGTCTGAACTGAAATGCAAACAGCAGGCAGTAATGTTTTTATCCGTGTTTGTGTCCATGTTTGCAGTGTTAACAAATATTTTATGAACTACATGATGGGTTTTAATGAATCTTTAAAAAAATCTTCAGTGGTGGTACCCTAACTGGTTAACTTTTCGGCCTCTTCCACACGTAGACGGTTTTTTTTTTTAAACGAATATCCGCCCCTCCAAAAACTTGCATCCACACCACCTCGTTTTACAAAAACTGTCCACACGTACCCGGATAAATACGTTGTTAAGGACATGCCAGACCTGTAGGTGGCAGTACTTCCCCCGTTCTTAACCTCGTCCTTCGTCTGTGGTCTTCCGCAAGGAGCAGTAATTCCTCTTGCAAAAACAAACAAGCAAACAGCGCTTGGACAATTGATAAAGCGAGCACAGCTCTGAGGGCATCCATGCTGTCGGCTAGTGTAAACACAGGTCGCACACGTGATGTCAGCATTTTTTTGTCGTGGAAAGTGACGTTGCGGACCTTAAAACTCCGGTTTTGTCCGTCCACACGCAGACACCCAAAACGGAGAAAACAGATCTTCACTTTGGCCGGAGTTTTTAAAAAGATCCGTTTTCGTGTGAAAAAACTCCGTTTTCGTGTGGATGACAGGCCAAAACGTAGAAAAATATCTACGTTTTGGCAGATCCCCGGCTACGTGTGGACAGGGCCTTAGTGTCAGCCTGGTTAATGGTAAATGGTAAAATGACCTGTATTTGATATAGCGCCTTCTAGAGTCCTGGAACCCCCCAAGGCGCTTTACAACACAATCAGTCATTCACCCATTCACACACACATTCACACACTGATGGGGATGAGCTACGATGTAGCCACAGCTGCCCTGGGGCGCACTGACTGGTTCAAAATGGACCCTGCAGCCAATAGGCATTTACAAACACAAAGCTGGTTAAAGCTCAGTGAGTTTTATAGGTGTTGGCCTGAAAATGTGGTGTCATAGTTGAGGTTTTTGTGCAGATGCACCACAGGAGACGAAAGACTCGACTTATTGTTTTTATAAAATCAATAGAAAATGATGTTTTGCGTGACCTTTGTCACCACCCTCTCCTTATTCTGTTCTTATTCCACCTTTCCCGGGATCCATTGATTTCCCTCTTTCCGATTCATTTTCTCTCTCCTTTTCTTTACATTCATATTTCAATGTCTGAAACATTTCGGCACTCGGCTCTAACACGTCCGCGTCACCTGGGCCAGCTCTTAGCTTGGGCGAGGTCGCAGCTCCGGCGGAACCGAATTGTTCCGGCTCGAGGAAGCTCCGGGCTCTGAGTCAACAACAAGATTATTCCTGCCCTTCTCGGAGCTGTCATGTCTTAAAGCTCTCAAAATCAGTAAAAACTTGCTGGTTCCACAAGAAAGTGCCAGGCGTTGCGTTTCACCACAAAAATTAACTGAAAAATTACACATTTTTAATGAATACGTCACTGAGAGAACACCACGTCTTACTCCTCTGCCATCTTGGCTCCTCCCCCAGTGTCTCGGTGTTCTACTTGTTTATGCTCACCATGTTGTATTTTTACTTGTTTGTGCTCACCATGTTGCATTTTTACTTGTTTATGCTCACCATGTTGCATTTTTACTTGTTTGTGCTCACCATGTTGCATTTTTACTTGTTTGTGCTCACCATGTTGCATTTTTACTTGTTTGTGCTCACCATGTTGCATTTTTACTTGTTTGTGCTCACCATGTTGCATTTTTACTTGTTTGTGCTCACCATGTTGCATTTTTACTTGTTTATGCTCACCATGTTGCATTTTTACTTGTTTGTGCTCACCATGTTGCATTTTTACTTGTTTGTGCTCACCATGTTGCATTTTTACTTGTTTATGCTCACCATGTTGCATTTTTACTTGTTTGTGCTCACCATGTTGCATTTTTACTTGTTTGTGCTCACCATGTTGCATTTTTACTTGTTTGTGCTCACCATGTTGCATTTTTACTTGTTTGTGCTCACCATGTTGCATTTTTACTTGTTTATTCTCACCATGTTGCATTTTTACTTGTTTGTGCTCAACATGTTGCATTTTTACTTGTTTGTGCTCACCATGTTGCATTTTTACTTGTTTGTGCTCACCATGTTGCATTTTTACTTGTTTGTGCTCACCATGTTGCATTTTTACTTGTTTATTCTCACCATGTTGCATTTTTACTTGTTTGTGCTCACCATGTTGCATTTTTACTTGTTTGTGCTCACCATGTTGCATTTTTACTTGTTTATGCTCACCATGTTGCATTTTTACTTGTTTGTGCTCACCATGTTGCATTTTTACTTGTTTGTGCTCACCATGTTGCATTTTTACTTGTTTGTGCTCACCATGTTGCATTTTTACTTGTTTGTGCTCACCATGTTGCATTTTTCCTTGTTTGTGCTCACCATGTTGCATTTTTACTTGTTTGTGCTCACCATGTTGCATTTTTACTTGTTTATTCTCACCATGTTGCATTTTTACTTGTTTGTGCTCACCATGTTGCATTTTTACTTGTTTGTGCTCACCATGTTGCATTTTTACTTGTTTGTGCTCACCATGTTGCATTTTTACTTGTTTGTGCTCACCATGTTGCATTTTTACTTGTTTGTGCTCACCATGTTGCATTTTTACTTGTTATGTTCACCATGTTGCATTTTTACTTGTTTATTCTCACCATGTTGCATTTTTACTTGTTTGTGCTCACCATGTTGCATTTTTACTTGTTTGTGCTCACCATGTTGCATTTTTACTTGTTTGTGCTCACCATGTTGCATTTTTACTTGTTTGTGCTCACCATGTTGCATTTTTACTTGTTTGTGCTCACCATGTTGCATTTTTACTTGTTTGTGCTCACCATGTTGCATTTTTACTTGTTTGTGCTCACCATGTTGCATTTTTACTTGTTTGTGCTCACCATGTTGCATTTTTACTTGTTATGTTCACCATGTTGCATTTTTACTTGTTTGTGCTCACCATGTTGCATTTTTACTTGTTTGTGCTCACCATGTTGCATTTTTACTTGTTTGTGCTCACCATGTTGCATTTTTACTTGTTTGTGCTCACCATGTTGCATTTTTACTTGTTTATTCTCACCATGTTGCATTTTTACTTGTTTGTGCTCACCATGTTGCATTTTTACTTGTTATGTTCACCATGTTGCATTTTTACTTGTTTGTGCTCACCATGTTGCATTTTTACTTGTTTGTGCTCACCATGTTGCATTTTTACTTGTTTGTGCTCACCATGTTGCATTTTTACTTGTTTGTGCTCACCATGTTGCATTTTTACTTGTTTGTGCTCACCATGTTGCATTTTTACTTGTTTGTGCTCACCATGTTGCATTTTTACTTGTTTGTGCTCACCATGTTGCATTTTTACTTGTTTGTGCTCACCATGTTGCATTTTTACTTGTTTGTGCTCACCATGTTGCATTTTTACTTGTTTGTGCTCACCATGTTGCATTTTTACTTGTTTATTCTCACCATGTTGCATTTTTACTTGTTATGTTCACCATGTTGCATTTTTACTTGTTTATGCTCACCATGTTGCATTTTTACTTGTTTGTGCTCACCATGTTGCATTTTTACTTGTTTGTGCTCACCATGTTGCATTTTTACTTGTTTATTACAAATGTTCTGGTTCCATATTTTACCCAACACTCACAGGAGGTGCTGTTTGTACATTTCTTGTGGATGTGTGTTTATTTTACTCCTTGTTTGTGACAGGTTTGCAGTGATGGCTTGTTGCTGGGCCCTGGACCCGGAGGAAAGACCCAAGTTCCAGCAGCTTGTTCAGTGTCTCACAGAATTCCACGCTGCTTTGGGGGCCTACGTGTAACGATGGGCATTTTCAGCTAGGAAAGACGCAGCGCCACTAAAGGCTGGTGGATGCTACTCCCACGAAGAAAATGTGCCTCATCAGATGCAAGAGCAGACTTTAATTATCCTCACAGTTTATAATTTGTACATTTTCTCTAGTTTTATTGTTTAATGACCTTTTTACAGCATAGCAAAGTAAAAAGATTATTTTATATGTTTCGTTTGCTTTGAAAGCATCTTCTTCTCTGAGGACCACAACAGTGGAAGGATGTCCTCTTTCATATAACTCAACAACTTTAATGTTTTGCTGGACACTCTTACAGTTTTCTACAGGTTATAGAGTGAAGCGCAGGCGTGTTTCAGCAGAATGGCTCGGGTACGAGAAGGAGCTCGGAAACCAGCTTTCTGAGATCTCCTCAGATGGTACTGTGTTTTTTCTGGATCATTTTCCTTTCCTGCGATTTAATTGTGCCAACTCTCAGAGGAGACATCCCCGGGGGGGGGGGGGGGTAATAATGCACCACAGCTCCAGTTTCACTTCAACAAAGCTTCATGTATGAACCAAGGGCTTGTTTCATTCCTGCCTATATTCATTTTTTGTACATATCACTTACACTCACAACTTTCCCACGTCTTTTTTATTTTTTTATTTTATGAGCTCGATTGTTCTGTCAGAACACGGCCATTCAGAAGATGCTCCAATCTGCTTTTTTTTAAACGAGAACACCCGTTATCACTGTGAAAACACAAAGCAGCAACACGGCTGCACCTTTAGCATCTTTGTTATGCGTTTTTTTGGCCACTGCATGAGGTTGTAAACTGTTTCCCAAATCCATATCCACAAATTAAATGGGATCTTGAAATATGTGACTCCTCCTTTTTTTCTGCTTGTAACGTACCTCACCCTGCTTCGAAAGAAGCTCTGACATCTGCGAGACGAGCTTCTGTTTGTTTCACTTATTTCATGTTCTCTGACTCACTTGGAAAAGAAAGTGGAAAGACGACCATCTAAGCACCGCTGTCGTCATTTCTGAGTTTTTGTTCGTCACTGGATTTCTTCTGCTTCCACGTCAGCTGTGTTGATAAAGCGCCACCACCACGGCAAAACTGTTGAGTAAGAGGACATTTCCTTTAACCGGCTGCTGAATCACCACAGCCCCGTAACTGTCACTCACTTTTGCTATCACGATGTAGTAAAATACTGTTTATTATTTACTATTATTGTTATTTCCCAGATTGTTTGGCGACATTTGGGTGAGACGGTGACCGCTTTAGAATTCAACATTTAAAAATCTAAATGTTTTCTACAGGTTGGATGATTGTGATTTGGTGGAAATTTTGACCATCGTTGGTAATAAAATGTTAAATATGTTCAGTATAAACCTTAAGAAGAAAAGTTTTCTGGAGCCGTTATTGACCTTTGTGTGTCGTTGTAATCTAGGCCTTAAAAAAACCTGAGAATTTAAAAGGTTTTCTGAGTGTTTAAGTAAATTATTTTATTCTCAAACTGTCATTTTGACCTGAAAATAAAATTCACAGTCGTAAACTTACAGAACCAAGGACATTGGGTAGACTTTTTAACGTGTCAAATGTTCCACTTTTTGGTAGTTTCCTCCAAAAAGAAACTATAATGCAAATAAATTAAGTCAGTTTATCTATATATATATATATATATTAGATATTATGTCTTAAAAGCTGTTCATGGTGTCAGAAAGATGTGAAAATGGTGAAGAAACTGGTCAGAAATCAGAATAACTTGGTTTGTGAGGTTTAACGAAACCCTTTCAGAGAAACATTGAGCGTCTGCACTCGTTTAGCCCGACTACCATTATCTCTACACGACAGACTCAAACCGGGTAACGGGCTCATCTATAGATTAGCTCTTTATGGGACATAAAAGGGGTTTTCAGCCTCTGCTTCACTTGTCACATAATAAAACATTTGTTCTGGCTAAATGTAAGAGTTTACCGGTGAAACTGACGCTGAATTCATCAGACAGCTCCTGCTGGATTTGTTTCTACTCATTAGCGGGGCTGAAACTGCTCACAGGCCCACATACCACAACTAATGAAGCATTAAGTCGCGGGGGGACAGAGACGGGGTTCACTCACTAAAACTCAGGTCTGGTATTATAAACCCCTCTGCCTTCCAAACTGTTCACATTTGTAAACGTGTGCATCATCATTTTGGCTTATTCAGCCAGCAGGTGTTATACGGTTTCATGTCACACTGATGGTGAGGTTGTGTGAGCCCTCTGCCATGGGGCATTCCCAGTCTGGGAATAATGATTGACCCACGCTTAAACAAACACAAAAGGACTTGGAGAATCTCCGTAACCCTGCTTTTAATTTAGAAGGCTCCATTTTAGTAAGTCGGATTTCAAATTTAAATATATAGTTTTGAATGCCTTGTTTACATTCATATACCTTTATTTAAAGTTTATTGTAAATACTTTGCTTTCCTTTTACGTCGGGTATGTCCAAGGCGGGGTCTGGGGCCTGTTTGTGGTCCCAGGAAGTGCTTTATATTGGCTCCACTTGCATTTCAAGTGTGGTTGAATTGTATCCCTCCAACAGGCCCCTGATGGAGATGTTTTTATTTATTTTAAGTCTTTTACTAAAACCAGGCCTATTTTTGAGCAGTTTAAATAAAATCATAATAGAAGGATTTTAGCATTTTTATTTATTTTGGCTAGGAAAGGCTATTAAGTGGAGTTTGTACACCCCAGCAGACTTTATTCAGAGAATTAAAGCATTCAGCTTTGCTTGTAAAGAAGAGTTTATCGTTACCTGTTATTAGATTGGATGTGAAATGTTTAAATTCAACCTCCTTGACGTATTCTACGCGTATATAATTCACCTTAGCTGACATTATTATTTAAAGTGACGTGTTGTGGTTTCTAGCTGCCTACGGCGGTGTCCCGCGGTCTCGCGCGCAGGTGGCTCGTGCGTGACTCAGCTCCTCAGCGCGAGACTATCTGTTCCCAGTTCACAACTTTCAAAACATTTGCGCGTGGAGCCGCGGGCCGAGTCCGGTTACATCAGCTGTAGCTCTTAACCCCCCCTCCTCCAGCCCTCCGGTGGCTCACAGCGGAGACGCCAGCCTCCCACACTCACCCTCTCCGGTAGCAGCTCTCCCGTGGCCGCCTGAGGAGGACATCGGCCGGACAGATGGACTCACGTTACCACCGAGACTCCAGCAAAACCAGGACACCATGCTGCAGCGTAAAGGTAACGCAGCTCCTGTTTCACACGTTTAATGCCGTTTATGCCTCTGCCAGCTGTTCATTTCGTTGAGAGTTGTTGCACAACTGCACGAGCAGAAATATGAAGTCAAACCTGAGCCAGGCAAGTCGGCTCACATCTCCTAACCCTGTCCTCCGAGTCCTGTCCCTCTCATCCGCTCCTAGCTCTGGACTGATGTTAATGAAAACGTGGGGAGCTGCTTGCTATCTAAGCCTGTAGAATAAACATGTCTGTCTCTAATAGTAATAACTTTAATGAATGTGGCTTACAGAATAATTAACGATGTGGTGATTTATTTAGATTTAAATGACATTCACATGAGAAGGGTGTTGGTCTTTTGTCATGCATCAACCTAATTTGATCTGAGTTAGAGTTTATTATCAGCTTCCATGAGTCTCATCTGCCTGTAAACGTGTTTTCCTCCTACCAGAGGAGGAAATGTGGCACCCTCAGTGCTGCAGCACATGCCAACTGTTCCAGGGCTGAGACATGAGGCGAAATTCTTTGGTTTCTGAACCAACTTATCGCTCCTCTTTCTCTGTTTGAGTAAGGCACTCCTTTTTTCGTTGGACAAAGTAAAAAAAAAAAAAATCTTTCAACCAGTTCCAAAAAGGGTCAAAGGTTTATTTGGATCTGAAGTCCTGTTTTTGTTTAAAGTTCTCACCCTGGTCTGTGGTGGTCCAGCTCCTGTAGCCTGGATCTTTAAACCGTGATGTGCAGAAGCAGGTGGGTCTGGTAACCGTGGAAAAACACGCTCTTGTCTTAGTTTCAGGGTTCTTAGTGAACTTTTGCCCTTTCCTGTCAGCGTGCACGCACCTCGGAGCTTTATAGTGGTATATTTAGATAATGGAAGTTGTTAAAAAGCAGCAGACGGTTTGTCGGTCAGCTCTACGTTTAGAGAAAGGAAGGGAATAGTTTGCATGTTCAGAACACAAACCGGGACAATGGATCGTGTTCATCCTTTTTTCTATCACTCAAGTACATAAAGTACAAACGAAACTGGAAAAATTAGAATATGGTGTCAAACTTACATTTATTTCAGTAATTTAAAAGGTGGAACTAACACATGAGACATACTCATGACATGCAAAGCCAGATATTCCAGCCTTTGTTATAATTGTGATGATCGTGGCTTACAGCCAATGAAAACCCCACATTCATAATCTCAGACAGCTAGAAGATTGTGAAAAGGTTCAATATTCTAGACACAAAGTGTCACGCTCTAATCAGCTAATGAATCCAGAACACCTGCAAAGGGTTCCTCCTGAGCCTTTAGATGGTCTCTCAGGCCCTGTCCACACGTAGCCGGGGATCTGCCAAAACGTAGATATTTTTCTACGTTTTGGCCTGTCATCCACACGAAAAATGAGTTTTTTCACACGAAAACGGATCTTTTTAAAAACTCCGGCCAAAGTGAAGATCTGCGTTTTCTCCGTTTTGGGTGTCTGCGTGTGGACAGACAAAACCGGAGTTTTAAGGTCCGCAACGTCACTTTCCGCGACAAAAAATGCTGACATCACGTGTGCGACCTGTGTTTACACTAGCCGACAGCATGGATGCCCTCAGAGCTGCGCTCTGTCACTACCCGATCCATCAATTGTCCAAGCGCTGTTTGCTTGTTTGTTTTTGCAAGAGGAATTACTGCTCCTTGCGGAAGACCACAGACGAAGGACGAGGTTAAGAACGGGGGAAGTACTGCCGCCTACAGGTCTGGCATGTCCTTAACAACGTATTTATCCGGGTTCGTGTGGACAGAGTTTTTTTAAACGAGATGGTGTGGATGCAAGTTTTTGGAGGGGCGGATATTCGTTTTTAAAAAACCCGGCTACGTGTGGACTAGTCCTCAGTCTAAGCTGGATTACTGACATAAATGGACTTTTGCACCATATTCTAATTTTTCCAGTTTCACCTGTAGAGTCTTTTGCATTCAGCCGATACTGTTCTGAACCCTTCCTGCTGACCTGTCCTGACTCCCTTTATCCCCCAAGCTATTCGTGAAACATTTCCACCTGCTCCAGCGGAAAAAACATACTTTTTTTGGACTTTTTGGAAATATTTAAAATGCTATAAATCTTCTTAGCTGTTCAGGTGACTTCTTAAAATACATTTTTACACAGTTCTAAGAGGGAGTTTGTGCAATCTGCAAAATCTGTTGCCACTACTTCTGCATTCCTGAAAGCTGTCGACAGCCTCATCACGGAACAGGTCAAAGCCATCCAGTGAAAATTGTCTCGCTCACCTGGTGGAAATGTAAAAATATGAAAATGCAGAAATGGCACAAAGGCTACATATCTAATGTTTTTAGCTGATCCATTTGATTACTTGTAAACATCTCCTAAAACATGAAACAGTGGTGATAAATCATCACAATAAAACAATAAAACAACATCCTGCAAGGCTGACACTGTTTCCTATTGACATTAAGAAGACTGCTCCATCCATGGACACATCTTCTCTGGGAAGAGCACGCCCCCATGATAAGGCATTTTGGATATGTTAATGATTTCTACTTAACACGGTTAGAGTTTTATGTTATTTATATTATAATGAGATAATTTTTTTAATGAAACTTACTTCGTTGCTCCACTCTGCTTGGACTATGGCTTCAGAAATAATGTTCAGGGCTGCAAACATTTGTGTATTTAAATAAAAGTCTGGAAAAATGTTGCTTGAATAGGAAGTGAGATTCCTAAAACAAACACGACCCAGAAGCACTGCAGACTTCTTCTACGATGCACCGAAACCGGAATCAACCACTCCAAGCCATCGTTTCATGCACCAGCACACAAAAGTAAACATCCACGATGGTCTGATGCAGAAGTGACAAACTTAAGAACATGTTTGTTTGCATCAGACACGCATTTCAGTCCAGTTGCACAAAACACACCCACACATGACCAGAAAGCGTTTGAAGGTTTTGTCTCGGTTCACCTGGATGCACGAGAAGGTTTTCTGATCACAATCAAAGCGGTGAATTCCTGCAGGGTGTGAGGTGAGAAGATTACTATCACAGCTTCTGTCAAGCTGCAGCCAAATGACTGGAAACATTTATAAATCTTTATTATTGATCTCCTACAGTTAGAGGAACAAACACAAACCGTCAGCCTTCCATCTGAGTCGTGGTTCTTTTGTTTTGGCTGCTATTGTGCAGTCAGCCTGTTTATTGTTGCTGCACAGTAAAGGGAGGTGATCCCGTTGTTGTCTTTCAAGTATCCTGAGAAATCTCACACCGACGTTTCTCTTTCCAGCAAGTAGATCGGATTTTATTTATTTAAGAAAATGCCCTTCTGGTGGCACAGTGACAACACGGGACCAGGAACAAAAATATTGGACATCTCAACATGAACTTCCAGTGATTCTTCCTCTCTTGGCAACATAAAAAGGCTGCGACAAGTCCATCCAGAAGATCCAGACAGAACACCTTAAAAGTGTTGCTGAAGACAAATGTGGACATAATGTATGAAGCCCACTTTCATCGAACATGCTGTAGTGCTTCCATCTTTTGGTTCTTTTTGGCACGCAGTGTAATAAAGAGATGTTTTAACTTTTTTCTGACAAGTTTTGGCTAACTCTGTAGCCTTCCTCAGAGCATCGCCGATGTCGGTGGCGTTACTTCTGTCTCTGTTTATCTGCGGGCAACAGAGGATGATGTGACCCTCTGCTGCCCGCACCCTCCTCGCTGATGACCAAGACCGCACACAGACCCGCATTTATCATGGATATCAGAACATCCTACCATACAGAAAATGTCAGTAATCAGAACGTTATACCACTGAGCAAACATAATATCAGAAGAAAGAGACCACAGACAAGAGGACCAACACGTACAAAGCACCTTCATAACCTGCACCCAACATAAACAAAGAAAAACAACAACAAAAACAAAAAGACAAAACAGAGAACCAAAAAGATCGGAGTAAACCGAGCCAAAAGCAGCAGTGACCCTTCCATACATTAGAGGCATATCAGAAAAAATTATAACACTGACAAAATACAACACAAACACACCTATAAGACCATGAATGATAGAAAAAGATCAGTACGTCCAAAGGACAAGATATCAGGAGGACAACAGTGTGGGGTCATATACAAAATACCATGCTAACTCAGCAATAAAACATAGGAGAAACAGGACACCAACTCAGCACATGAACAACAGAACATAAAAAGTCATGGGAGAAAGAAACAAGTCAAAGACACACAAGAGCAGCGAAACAAGAGGCAGAAAGTACAACAAAGGAATCAGCTGTAACAGACCACTGCACAAGGGAAAACCCCTATTATTGGACCGGGACAGAACACGGATCATAAGGAAAAAAAGAAAGATAACTATCTTTTTTTATAGGGCCTCTCAAAATAAAAATTGCGAGGCACTTCACAAAAACAAACAATAGAAAAGATTCAAAAATATGTTTAAATGTGATTAAAAATGTAAGGAAAGGGAGAGAGAACTGATCAGGAAATGTCTAAAATTCAAGGACATCATTTGTTAAATCCATGGCACATATCAAACAGGATCAGAAAATAACTTTTATCCTCTCATACACTCCCATTCGTTTTCTTTTTGGCAGTTGGGGACCCATGGGGTGTGTCATACAACTTTAGGTCTCTCACAAGGTAAAGAGTAGTCATGTGAGAGGGTAGCCTGGTTAGAGAACCCAGACGTGGAAGTGCAAGCATTGGGAGCTGCTAGCACACAGCTAGTCTGGGAACAACAGCACTGAACCCGAAAGAGAGCGGGAACACGGTGTTGCTCCGTAACGTAAGTGATTGACTTGTTTGGATAGTGATCAAAGGCTTGAGGAACTTGGAAGCTTGGGTCTCTGACATAGATTACTGTATCGATGACTGACGCCGGGGACACACCGGCCGCGGAAGCGCCGAGAAGCGAATCGTTCACGAAATTCGGCCGCTGCTCGCAGCTCCTCAGTTCAGATCAGACGCGCCCCAGTCGAGGCGCGTCTCGGCTTAGCTGTAGTTTGTCT